TGATCTTTTTGAGGACAATTGTTTATGGGGTTTATTGTTGTTGTTGTTTGGGGGGTTTTTTGATAAATGCTTTTATGGGGGTATAAATGAATGCTGTATTTGATCTGTGGGATGTTTCTCTGGTAGGAGAAATAAATAGCAATGCTTTTGCCAGCATCTCTCTGAGCCACCCCCTTGGGGAGCCGGTGTGTAAATGTGTACACATGTGTGCGCATGTGTAGAATTGCATCCACACTGATGGGTCAGTCACCTTCTGGCTTAAATACAGGCCCACACACATACGCCCTTGCCTCCGTTTAGGGTGCAGATTTGCAAGATGCCCAAGCGTTTAGGAGCTGGTTGAACTCGAGTTCCCTCTCCAAGCTTCACATCAGAGGGGGTGTGAGAACCAAGTCTTTTTCCAGCGTGAGTAGGCAAACTCCTACTCATCCTCTAAAACCCCACTGAAGCATCACCTCTTGAGTCTCCACAGGCAGAATCAGGGTCTGAGAACACTCTGCTCATCACTCTGCTATAACAAGAGGCACAGGCACTGCTGTCATTGGCTTTTTGTGCCCCAGGGACTGTCTGCCCTAGACCCCCAAGACCTTGGCCAGGGGTCTTGGGATGGGAGAAGAAGAGGGAGGGCAGGAGGGCAGAGGGGTCTCCTCTTGATGGGGTGAGGTCCCCTGGAGGTTGGGAGGGGCTCAGCCTGTGTCCTCACTCCCCAGCCGCTGCTTTCTGTCCCATGGTCTGTGTCAGAGGCTGTTCTTAGACTCCTTTAGGAAAACTCAGCATCACAGGGAACTGCAGTTCTGGGAGCCAGTGCGCGTGCAGAAGTGCCATGAGCCTGAGCCTGACATTGGCCGATGGGGAGAGGGGATCCAGCACCTTCTGAGGAATTGACCAGGCACCAGCTGTCGGGTGGAGTGGGCTCTTGGGGTTTCCTTGTCGTTGGATTCACAACCTACAGAGGTGTGGCACCTCTTCTGTGACTTGCATCAATACTACCTAATAAAATGTTAACCACACGGACATCCCTGCCCAGCTGTGAGATGTGGCAATGAGGATGAAGAGCATCAGGGGTCTTGGGTGACCCTGAGCGTCCCAACTCCAGGCCCCTCAGAGAACCTAGCACAGCCCTGAGGCCTGGCCACTCAGCCCCCACAGCCCCCACACCTGGTGAGCCCCTCTTACTGGGTCACCTGGATGAGCTACGTGACCCACTGCCTGGCCCTGACCAGGACGTCACTGTAGTGGGCATAGCCAGGGCTGGCCACTCAGGAGGCCTCTTGGGACCTCCTTCAGGAAGGGGTGCCCTGCTGGGTCCCGGGGGCACTGACAGGGCCCTGGACAGGTAGGGAGCCGCTGCTGGCAGACTTCTGGCTGTGTTCTCGCCACAGGCCTGCTGGCCTCGGGACCTGCTCAGTGGCCACTGCTCTGGTCTCCTGAGTCCAGCAGATTCCCTGGGGACCAGAGCCCCCCAGAATGAGGCTGGCAGGCAGGGATGAGCAAGATGTGGTTGCTCCACTGTCTGGGGCAGGGAACAGGACTGAGCTGGGGCTTCCCCCAGATTCCTCTGTACTGTCGAGGGCCAGGTTCTGCTGTACTGTTTAGGGCCAGGGCACATTTCTTATGCACTGGATTGGGTTCAGTTTAACTTACTTAACCTTGTTCATGACAAGGGGTTTACGATGTGAATGTGGAAGCTGAGAATAATGTCCCTGGTTTTGTAGAAAGGAAATCATAGTATATGCACAGAGTTAGGAAGCTGGATTCTGGCCTGCCCTGAGATGGGGCTGTCTGAGCCAGGTCCAGAGAGAATGCCGCCTCCTCCTGCCACCTCCTTCTTGTGGCTTCTCAGTCCCATCCAGAGTCACCTTATATCCGCTTAGATTTATTTTTTGCCTGATTTTTTAAAATTTAAGGGCAAATGTTACCATAGCAGATTTTATGAAACATCCTTGTCATATTGAATCAGTAGCTTGCTCACTGGAGACAGGATCAAAATCTTTTTTAAAAACAATGCTTTGCTAAATTATGGAAGTAACACATGATCACTGTCAAAACTGGGGGAGGGGAAGTTAACAAATAAAACAATATTAGCCATAAACCTGGCACCGAGAGTGAAGCACGCTATACGACGTGTGTGTCTGGATGTTACCAGCTTAGATCTTGTGTCGTGGTTGATGGTTTCCAAGCGGCTCTCTGAGTGCTAACCTACTGCAGCTGCTGGGAGGAGGTGGTCGAGGTGCTGTTGTGGGTGTTACAGAAAGAGGACCAGTCAGCAATCTGTATGGCCACCATGAGTGGACACCTGGTGCCAGGACTGGGCAGCCAGGTGCCCTTTCTTCGCCCCACACAAATAATTATCTCCCTAAACACGTGCTCAGGAATAGGTATCATCTTTGGGCTGGGGCTCAGCTCTTGGCGATGTTTCAGTAATAAAACACAGGCATGTAAATTATCTGTGTCCCAGGAGAGTGCGTTCATAATTGCATCTTTCTCCTGATTTGGATTTATGATTTTATTGATTTAACTCTAATCAGGCAATTTTTCAAAAGGAAACTATGTGCCATGGTTCCACCGCCTCTCTGCCAGGTCCTCCTTTCCCTCAGCCTGGCGCTGGCCCACACGTCCCGTGGCGATGTGTGGTCCCGGGCTTGGATCCTGTCCTGGGGAAAGATTAGCCATCAACTTTATTGGGACAGGTTGGAAAGGTGGAACGTGGATTGTAGCTTAGAGACATGAGTGTCATATCTGCATTCGATTTACTGAATCTGGGACCTGCATTGAGATTATGGAAGGGACACCCTGTCCTTATGAGACACACCTGAGTGCTGCCTGGTGTTACACACGCGTCAGAAAAAGCGAGTGTGTCATATGGAAGCGGGGCGGGGCAGGGAGATTGTACAGAAGTGCTGTACACGATTGCTCTGTACTGTTGTTGCAGTGTTTCTCTATGTCTGGAAAATGTTCAGAATCAGTGTAAGAAAGACACTAGGAAATAAAACAATAACCCCATGAACTCACCGCCCTGCACACTGAGAGCCCTCCCTCCTCCCACCCCAGAGGGATGGGGGTTGGGGGTGTTACAAGAATCCATCCCCTGCTTTCCACTGGAGCCAGGCCTCGTGCATGGACCCCTCCCCTCCGCAGGTGTGTCCAGTGTTGCTGGGTTTTGAGCTCCATGCAGATAGGAAAACGGAGCCCACACCGTGTGTATTCTATTAGGACTATGTTTGATTTTTCCATTCCGATGCTGACAGACACTTGGGCTGGTTCCAGTTCTGCCATCACAAATCCCTGAGGCTCCTGGCACCTCAGCTCCCACTTCAGTGGGAGGGGAGAGGAGAGGGAGAGGGAGCAGGGACTGGGGTATTCTAGAAGACTGTGCAGTGCTTGCTGAGGTGGGTGTGCAGGTGGGGGAGGGAGCAGGTATGCCCTGGGCTTCCAGCAAAACAGCGGGGTGGGGTCTGACTCCCTCTGTGCCACCTGGAGGCTCTGTCAGATCCCTCTGAATCCCTCTCGTGGGATGCCAGGCGGCTGGGCTTGAAGCAGATGGCAGCCAGGTGGCCAGGGCAGGGAGACGAATGCCTGTCCTGGGAGGGGGAAGTCGGGGGATGCCGCTCCCAGAGACCTTCCCATCTGCAGGCGTGGCTTTCTCACTCAAGGCCTATACGTGTTTGCAGGCATGTCCTGTACCCCAGGCCACCATCGCCACACCTGCTCCAGGGGAACTGACCCCAAACACGACTCGGTCAGGCCTCCCTTCCTGCAGGCAGACAAGTTTCTGCCAAGCCCAGGGATCAGAGGTTTCAGTGCCTCCCGAGGAAGATTGTGAAGTTGCAGCCTCATTCTTTCCCTGCTCCTGGGCGCTACTGGGCATTCCTGGCGAAGGAGGCATCCCCGAGGTCTTATCTTGTGTATTAATTATGTGCCCCCGGCCCTGCTCACCTTTCCTGTGGTGGGACTCAGCACTGGGCAGGTGGAGGGGGCTCCAGACACCGATGCGCCCTCCCCAGTCACGTCCTGAACTCTGAAATGCACTGTCCTTTCCTCGCAGCTCCCCATGCGCGGCTGTGCCCACCGACTGTCTAGTTTCGACCTTTGTGTAAATAAGAGCACACTGTGAGTCCTCCTTTGCTGCTCGTTCCCTACATACTATTAGGATGTGGGTGCTACCTGCACGTGGGGGTTGGTGGAGGACTTTGTTGCATTGCTCTATGGGACCCTGTGGGACTGCAGCGCATGGAGTCCTGTCAGGGGAAGTGTGGGGTTTTGGGTTTTGCTATTACAATCTCCATCAGTTTTAAAAAGCCTCCTGCCTGTAATTGAAATGTAAAATTTCTGGCAGATAAGTTGCTCCATCCTTTGGGGGCCAGTGGAGGGGTCACCCAAGGGGCACCAGTCACCTCCACACCTCCAGTGTCCAGGGATCTGGGCCCTGCACCTTGTGGGGTGGGAGGAGAGTGGTGAGGGAAGGAGGGGCCACCTCCTGCTTCACCACCAGTTTACTTCTATACCCCAAGCAAGGCCTCTCTGAGGCTTTCCCCTCCTCCTCCTGCCAGCCGGCTCCGGGGCACACCCTCACCCCCTCCCGGCCCCATTCTGACAGCCCCTCCCCTGCCTCGGAAGAACAAATTTGGCTTCAGCCAAAAGCTCCAAAGAGTATGGAATTAGGACAAATAAGTGGAGGATTAAATCAGTGCACTGCTGACTTTGAATCATCCAGGGAAACTTTTAGCCCCGAGTTAGTAGCACTCACCACCTGAATGGGCCTCTCCACCCCAAACACAAGCCAGCTGGTCCCTGCCCCAGCCTTGCCACCAGTGGCCCAGGGGGTGCCCACAAAGGGTGCTCCCTTGGCGGGGGCACGACTACTCACTGTGGGGTCACAACCACTCCTCTCTTCATCAGAGGCCCTGACACACCTTGGTGGGCCTCTCCTGACATGGACAATCCGTGGGCCACCAGTTGCTGGGGCAGGAGGTGACGCCTTGTTCTTTTCTGTCCCCCAGATCACCAGAAGTTGGAGAGAGAGGCTCGGATCTGCCGCCTTCTGAAGCATTCCAATATCGGTGAGCGGCCCGGGGTGGGCGGGGGGATGGATCCTGTTCCGGTTTCTCTGTCAGACTTTCAAAGAGATACAGAAAGACTTCCTTTTCTTCTCTGTTGAAATATCCCACCAGAAGCCCCTGAGGACGCCCCCTTTCCTCCCCTGACCTTGAGGACTTTGTCCTGTGTGACATGATTCCAGGGAGTGCTCAGAGCCAGGGCAGCCCCAAGGCGGGGCTCTGGGTGCCCAGCTCCACCCAACTGGACAGGTCCCCTCCCCACCCCACTCTGTCCTTTGGGTCTTGTCTGTGGCATTGGTGACAGTGGCTGTAGAGGAAGGTAAAGGACACATTCCTCACAGAGCCTTCCGCTGAGCCAGTGCCCAGCACGTAACCCCCATAACTCTGAGCCACCATAACACTGAGCCACCATTCTGCTGAGAACACACAGGGGCCTCAACATTCTGTGGCCTCAAAAAAGCCACAAGATGGCCCAATTACAAGGAAAACAAAGACTGACCAAAGACCCCAGCGCATGCCATCCTCGGGCTGAGAGCCCCTCCTGTTTTCTTTTGCTGGCCCAGGGCTTCTGGAACTACGGTCTGAGGTCAAGTGACCCTGGCCCAGAGTCAGCTGCTCCACGGGGGCATCTGGAGCCTGGAGCCCAGGCCTTGCCCATATTGGGGAGCAGCCAGGAAACGCCCTGGGGATGGCAGCCGCTCTTGGCCTCAGACACACGCGGGGAGCTGTCAGGTGGATTTTGGGCCCTTTCCTCCAAAGCTCTGATTCACTTATGCCAGGAGGACCCCAGGTGTGCTTGTTCCAAAGGAACAGCTGGGGACTGAGAGCCTGTTTAGGAGCCTGGGGCATCCACACACTCACCTGGGCCTGGCTCCGAAGGTCGCCGAACCCTCATCGCCTGGTTTAGGGGACTGGAACCACCTTACCTCATCCAATGCTTCACCAATGAGCTGGGCAGAGGGGCAGGTGCCCCAGTGGACCCAGCAGGACCCCAGCATGGAAAGCGGCAGCCCCAACTCCAGGGCGCGCGCCAGGCTGCAGCCCCCGGTGGGCTCTCAGGGTCCCACTGCTGCAGCTTAGCCCCTGGAGAGATTCGCCGCTGCCCACCGTCCCACTGCATCCAGACTGGACTCTTCACCCTGGTTCCTCTTAGTAATCCAGGACTTTATTTATTTACCACCTCTGTATGCTGCCCACAGTGTTATTTGCTTACTGTTTTTATTTAAATAGATTTTCTGACAATTCACTTTTTTACTTAGCCCTGTGTGTGAATTCGCCGTCTGATGTGCCAGTTACGTTTTCTTTTAAACCACTAAAATAAGTATATAACTATTTTTAAAATGTTAAAAATGTTTTTTTAAAAAGTGTCCACATGCGCATGGCCCAGACTCCCCACACAGACCCCCAGTGCTCCATCTGGCCTAAGCAGCCTGCTTCCTGCTGAGGAGGTGGGATCTCCCCTCCCACTGCCACCCCAGAGCCCATCTGCCTCTGCCCCACCCCACCAGGCCTGCATGGGGAGGTGGGTGCCTGAGGGCAGGGGCAGCCCCCACCATGAGGATGGCCCTGCAGCACCCCCAGGGAGCGGTGAGGTACCTTCATGGATGACAGGGCCTCCCTTGGAGCTGCCCGTGGGGTTCTGTGGGGGGCATCCCCTCCGTGGCCCCTGGGATCACCTCTGCTCTGAGTGTGTGATTTTCATGAAGCATGTCCCAGGTGGGGCAGTTCAGAGGGGCCAGCCTGCTGGGCCCCCAGCTGGGCTTATTGGGCAGCCCCCACTAGAAAGGAGTGGGGAGGGGTGAGTTTTTTAACTCCAGAGGTTTCACAGGCGAGTGCTAGAAGCGGGATGTTGGTGGGCCTCCAGGATCCGCCATGTCTTAGGGACACACAGGCCAGCCTGCGTAGGGGTGAAGAGAGGGTCCAGGGAACCTAGTGAGAGGGCATCCTTGCTCTTGGGACAGAAGTCAGCCAGAGATGGGTGAGAGGGAAAGGGGACATTGGTTTCAGACAAGTGCCTTAGCTGGTGGAGTCCCTGCTTGACAGAGGTCAGCATCAGCTCCCAGACAGCCCTGGTGGGCAAGATTTGCCCTCCGCCCAGGGAGCTGACCCAGGACATGGTCTGGGGAAGACCTTGCTCTTTGAGAATGGGGCTTGGTGGGGGCAGAGAGGAGAAGGCTGGGCTACTGGGCCTGAGGCAGAGAAGTGGAGCAGGTCTTTTTGCACTGGGCTTGCAAAAACCCCAGGACTCTAAGTGGGCCCCAGGCCCTGGTGCGGAGCGTTGGTCACCTGGGATTCTTCACATTCAGGTGATGATGGTGACAGTGATGGTCCCAGAGCTGTGGCTCACCTAGTGCTCACTGTTTCAGAGCACCACAAAGGTTACATAATTGATCTTCATGGCCACCCCGTGAAGAGGTGCTATTTATACTATTTCACAGAGGGGCAGATTGAGGCTTAGATGGTCTGAGCAACCTGCCCCAGGTCACACAGCCAGAGCAAGTGGCAAAGGCAGGGCTTGCCCTATATTTTCTGACTCTGTGGAGGCTTCTGGGGCCTGGCCTGCCCTTGGTGGAGGGCATTTTGTCTGAGGTTTAGGGGCTAACGAGGGCCATCGGTGTGGGGCTGCTGGAGTCCAGGAATCTGTAGGGTGAGTCCTAGGCCCCAGAGGCCACATGGAGTTCCCGGATGTAAGGACATTATCAGGCCAGGCCCCTGGGAGAACCAGAGCCAGAGGAGGGAGGGCACTGGCAGCCAGTTAGAAACTGGAACAGCGCTGGAGCATCCGAGGAAGGGGCTGCCTGAGGCCCAGGGGCCTGCGAACCTAGGAGAAGACAGCTGCGCCTTACCTGTTCAGTGTCTGTGGCCCAGTCTCAAGTGGTGGAGGAGAGCCACACCTCAGGGGTTCGTCTTCCCAGGACTTGAAGACTGGAGGGAATGAGGCTGGTGCAGGCCCTCAAACCAGACTGTCCCCTGAGTCCACAGCCCTATTCTGCCTTTGTGAGCTGTGTGACTGTCAGCTGCTTACCTAAGCTCTCTGTGCTTCAGCTTCCTCATCTGTAACTTCTCAGGGTGGTCGGGAAGGTTAAATGAAATAACACACACAGAGTGCTTAGAACAGCCCTAGTGTGTTGGCTGTCATCGTCCTCGTTGTTCTAGCAATCATCAGAATCGGCACGTGGGAGAGTGTCCAAAATGAGTCATTCCTAGAAAATATTTGCTGCTTAGTACAGGGCACATCTCCAGCTCAAGGAAAAGCAGGCCTTGAGGTTGCTTGCTTTGTGCTGAAATCACTCACTGTTCCCTCGCCTCTTCATCTATCCACTCATTCATTCATCACATCCTGACCAGCTCCTGCCCTGCGCCAGGCAGAGTTCCAGGACCAGGCACGCTGCACATAGATTGTCATGGGAAGCTGTGCAGGGAGGAAGGAGGGAATGATGGTGGTCCATCCTGCTGACCATGCCAGCTCTGGAATTGGAGCTCAGGGCCCAACCTTTGGATGATGTTGCATTGGGCGGGGACCCTGCCCGCCAGCCTGTGCCGGCAGCACACAGCAAAGACACAGAGCCTGAAGGCTGAGGGCAGCCCTGGGAAGACCCAAGACGAGTAACGAGTGGTTTTTGTCCCAGCTTCTCCTCATGTGGAGCTTCATGGCGGCTTCTTTCTGGGGTTTGGCGGTGTGAGCTCCTCCTGCTCATCTCCATGGTGTTTGGGAGCAACTGAGGCCCAGGCTGGGACCAAAAGGGCCTGGTCTCTCTCTGGCAGAAGAAGACAGGTGACCAGACTGGCAGCTGAGGGCAAGGAAAGAACAGGGGCCCAGAGGCCCTGTGGGTGCTCGCTGGGTGGTCAGCTGGCCCACAGGGCCCAAAGCACTCTGCTCAGCCCTGCCCACCTAGGCCCTACCCAGCCCGATCCTGTGGGCAGCCCTAGGGCTTACACAGCTCGTGGTGTGCCTGGCCAGGTATGGAGGCAGGCAGGGGGTGTGTCCTGGGCTACTGCCAGCCCCTCATGGCTTCTCTGTCCCCACAGTGCGTCTCCACGACAGCATCTCCGAGGAGGGCTTCCACTACCTGGTCTTCGATCTGTAAGTTCCAGAGCTGGGGACTCTCGCCACACTCACTCCCAGCCTTGGCTCAGGGTGGGATCTGCACCCTCCCCAGCCCCAGGGAATAGTCCCAACCCGTGGGCTGGCCACTCCCTTGAGTGTGCTTCTGCTGCTGGTCCCCTTGCTCCAAGTTGTGCCTGGCCCAGCCTCCCTCGCTTCTCCTCATTTGCTTTGCACTAGGGTTACTGAGGCCCACGGAGGCAGGGCTGACATCCTGGGCTCCCCCTCTCTTCCACACAGAACAGGGTACACTGGAGGCAGTGGGTGGGTGGACCCCAGAGGAATAGTCAGTCAGAAGCTGCATTCACCCTTCTTTCCTTGGAGCCCTCGTCCGAAGGACTGGGACACCGCTGGCTGGCGTGAGCGCACATGTGTGTGTTTATGAATGTGGCTGTGAGATGTGAGCATGTGCACATGTATGGGTGTGTGTGGGCGTTTGCACATGGGGGCGTGTGAGCACATGAAATCAGGGTACATATGGGTGGGGATGTGCATACATGTGCATGTGTATTGTGTGAATGTGTGAGTGAGCGTGTGGAGGTATGTGCATGTGGGTACGCTGGCACAAGTGTATGCATGTGTGTTTGCATGTGTGTGCATGCATGTGTGCGTGTGTGTGTGCATGAATGTGCATGTGTGAGTGTTTTATGAGTGTGTGTGCGGTAGCTCAGTGAGAAGGTGTCTGGGGCCGCTGCCGCCTCTCACTTCCTGCCGGATTTAGAAGCAGTGATCTCATCTCCCTCACTTTTGACAGTTCCTGCTAAGCAGTGCTATATTTAGCTGTCTGTGAGTCAGTGCTGCTCCAGGACCCTGACCTGGGCAAGGGCCCATAGGCCTTAGCCTGGCCCTGTGGCCCCCAGGCGGCCGCACAGCCAGGGAAGCCCAACCTTGGTGCTATTGCCATGGTTACCCCAGGCCCTCCCCATGGCTGCTGTGAGCGTGCAGGCCAAGCAGAGATAGGACGCGCCTGCATGGGGACTGCCCTCTCAGCTCCTCCTTCCTCAAGTGACAGACGACAGGCCATGGCACATGTAGGCCTGAGGAGGCCTCTGTCCACGTGAGGTTCTCTGGCCTAGAGAAGCTGAGACTGTCCCTGCAGGGGCTTGGCGACCTCTCAGGTTCCCCTGCATGTCCCACAAGACACCAACTGCAATCACCAGCCAGGTGACTGGGGCTGACCTGGACACAGTCGCCACGGCCTGGCTGAGGCTGTGTCCTGAAACGTCTGTCCTGTGGCCCTGGGGAGCTGGCAGGCTTGCTGCACACCTGTGGGCCCCACCACACCTCCATCAGCCTCTTTTCCCAGGAAATGGAGAGACTGTGGGATTGGTCCTGTCCAGGGACCCTGGTGGTCAACAGATGGCTGCATGTGTCACAGGAGCTGAGGAGAAGAAAGGGTGGTGTGTTCGTGCATGTGTGTGCCCATTTGAGAGACTCTCATGTCTCCCGCCTTGCCAAGCACATGCCAGGCAGGTGTCAGTGGAGGCCCTAAGGCAGGCTGGGAAGAAGACATTGGCTGGCGAGTCAGGAAGGACCCTGCATGTCTTCCCCACAAACCTCCATGGCCCCTGTGCCTCAGCCAGCCTCAGGCCAGCAGAGGGCCGGGACAGTGGTTTCTGGAGTTGGCTGGCATCGCCCTCAGGAGGCCCTGAGGCCCCACGGTAGTTTGGGGACTCTGTGGATTCTGGGGGATTGACAGATATCCCCACTCCCCTTGCTTGGGAATGTCACAGGGCTTGAGAACCAGGCTTGGGAATAGAGGGTCTCACACACACCTGCACACCCAGAGGACAGAAGCTCCCATAGGTGCCATGGCTGAAGCCTAGAATCAGCCATGTGTCCCCCACAGCCTAAGGAAAGGGGACCATGAAACCATATGTGTGCCTTCCCAGACTATGTTCCTCCTGGGCCAGTATTGAGTCTCCCAAACTCCCCACAGCAACCAACGTGGGTGGAGAAGCAAACTCCCTTCCCTGAAACTGAACCACTAGATGGCCCTGGCCAGGGAGTCTCAGGTGCAGCTTCCTGAGCACACAGAGCACCCCAGAGGGCCTGGCATCAGCCCTAGTGAGGCACCCCTTGGAGGGACTCTGGGGTGCAGCCCTGGCTCAAGACCTTAAGGCCTTTTAGCCACTGTTCTGTGCCTAGACTCAGCATCTACAGAGCCTAATCTGTGTTTAATGTGTGCCAAGACCTGGACAGTTATAGCACAACACTGGGGCATGCCAGACCCTTGCTGGGCTAGATGTGGGATTTGATCTTCCTACCCAATGCACATGTATACACACAAGCACACACATGTACAAACATGCACACTGACACACATGCACACGTGTGCACATGCACAAACTGCTCTACAAGTACACAAGGGCACACACAGGCACACAGTTGTACACACATGCACACAGGCACGCATGCACACATGCAAAACAATATACATGAACATGAGTGCACGCATGGGCACACATAGGTACAGACGGACATGCAGACACACATGCACATGTGCACATGCACAAGCCAGTATACATGTACACAAGGGCACACACAGGCACCCACACATGTGAACACATGCACACACACCCCCTCACGGACAGGCCAAGCTCAGGAGCCAGACCAGATGACCCTGGGAAGGGCCCCCGTCAACACTGTTTTGTTTCCTTGTGGTTGATCTGGTGGTTGATTGGCTGTATAAATGTGCTGGCCCATGAGGAGTGAGAGAGGCATGCAGAGGAGTGAGCAAGGGTGAGCAGAGCTCCAGGTCTTATGTCAGGTGCAGGTTGGGGACACAGAACAGCAGAGCCAGTCAGGCAACAGAGGCAGAGCCCCTGCCCCCAGCCCCCAGCCCCCAGCCCAGACAGAAAAACGGGGAAAGGAAAGGGAACACCCAGTCTTTTAATGCCTTGCTAGGTGCCAGGGACTTGGGTGTCTTCCCAGTGCATTTCACCCTCACATTGCTCGAAGGATTTTGAGGGGATTCAATGGGATCATCAGGGCATGTGTTTAGCTGGAGCAGGGGGGAGCCAACATTCAACACATGCTCACTTTTCTTTTTCTCCAGTGCTGAGAGAGCATCCACGTGTGCCAAGGTCACATGTTAAACAGACCCACTCCCTGGGTCTTCCCTGCCGTGGACCAGCCCAGCCCCAAGTGCTGGGCCCAAAAATGAGGAAGACCTAAGCCCTACTTTCCAGAACCAATGGGGAAAACTGCCAGGCAGATAGAGAAGCCACAGCGCCTGGGCAGTGCAGTGGAGCAGGTGGGGGGATGGGGAAGAGGGTGCAGAGGCAGAGGAGGGGTTCGGGCCCCACAGGCCTGCCCCACACATAGGGTCACAGGAGGTGGTGTGGGAGCAGAGACCCTAACCTTCTCAGGGGTGGGAACTTCTAGGGGAGTCTTCCAGCCGACTCAAGCAGGCTGAGTGTGTGAGGGGCTTGGGCAGACCTATGGAGGGCTGTCCTACTCCCCTGCCGTGCGTCCAGCCCCTCCACCTTTTTGTTCCATGCCCACATTACCCAGCTCCCAGAGGCCCTTCAGATTGTGGCTTCTGTTCACAGGGTCTATCCTGACCGTAGAGCCCAATGACTACTCACTGGGTGGAGACACAGGGCAGGAGAGTGGGCAGAGACCTCCCTTCTGCCTGTCATCTCTGTTCTCCTCCTAGAGATGGGACCTTGAACACCTCAAGACCCCAGGCCACCAAAGAGGCCAGATTTAGGCCTCTGATCCTGTGCAAGGGCCACCACTCTGGCCCTAAGTGGGGGTGGGAGAGTGTTGAGGAGGGGAGACCAGATCTTCTCAGACTTGGAATTTGAGTCACAAGGCCTGGGTGTAACAATGCAGACCCCGAGACAAAGTTCCTGTGCTGCCCACTCTGTGCAAGTCACCAAATCTTTGAAACTTGTTTCCTCATCCATAAAAATGGAGTATAGACCAAAGTCATAGAGCGGTTGTGAGGACTGAAATGTTAAATGTCATTATAGATAAGTAAGCACTAGTAAGCTGTCAGTCCCAAGTGATGATGGTGATGGTGGTGGTGGTGATGATAATGGTAATGGTGTGATGGTGGTGATAGTGATAGTGATGATGGTGGTGGTGGTAGTGATGGTGATGATGGTGGTGGTGGTGGTGTAGGTGATGGTGATGATGGTAGTGATAGTAGTGATGATGGTGATGGTGGTGATGGTGTTGGTGTTGGTGATGGTGATAGTGGTGTTGGTGATGGTGATGGTGATGGTGGTCATGGTGGTGGTGATGGTGGTGATGGTGATGGTGGTGATGGTGTTGATGGTGGTGGTGATGGTGGTGGTGATGGTGGTGATGGTGATGTGGTGGTGGTGATGGTGATAGTGGTGGTGATGGTAAGGGTGGTGGTAGTGATGGTGGTGGTGATGGTGATGATGGTGATGGTGATGGCGATGATGGTGATGGTGTTGGTGATGGTGGTGGTGATGGTGATGGTGGTGGTGATGGTAAGGGTGGTGGTAGTGATGGTGATGGTAGTGATGGTGGTGGTGGTGATGGTGATGGTGGTGGTGATGGTGGTGATAGTGGTGGTGATAGTGGTTGGTGATGATAGTTGGTGGTGGTGATGCTGGTGATAGTGGTAGTGATGGTGATGTTGGTTGGTGGTGATGGTGATGGTTGGTGGTGATGTTGGTTGGTGGTGATGGTGATGGTTGGTGGTGATGGTGATGGTTGGTGGTGATGGTGGTAGTGATGGTGATGGTGGTTGGTGATGATGGTAGTTGGTGGTGGTGGTGATGATTGTGATGATGCTGGTGATGGTGACATTAGTGATGATGGGAGTGATGGCGATGATAGTGGTGGTGGTGGTGGTGGTAGTAATGGAGGTGACAGTGTGACAGGGGTCTCCAGAATCTGTGACCCCTTCATGCTTCTCCCATAGGGTCACTGGTGGGGAGCTCTTTGAAGACATTGTGGCGAGAGAATACTACAGCGAGGCTGATGCCAGGTGGGTGCAGAGCCCTCACGCTGCCTGTCCCTCTTCCCTTATACCCTCACCACCCCTCCTTCACCCACTCCTGCTGCTCTTTCTGACTCACGTCTGGTCCTGAGCATCCTTGCTTACCCACACCCCAGGGCAATGGGCATGAAGCCAAAGGAAACTTGTAACCTCAGTGCAGAGCCAAAAGGCCACCTCCCCTCCACGCCCAAGGCCCTGTTCAGAGGGCTTGGCCCTGGGTCTGTGGGCCTCCCAGTGTGGGGATGGAATGGAGGAACTTGGGCTCCATCCAGGTGGGGCTTCCTGTGGACCCTCAGGCAGCCCTTCCCACAAGGCCAGCCCTCCCCAGGGGGAATGAAGAGGGACAGATGGTCTCAGAGATGGCTGTTGGTGGCCTGGCTGCTGGAGACCAGATTGAGGGATGGCAGATGTCAGCTGGGGAGGTGACAGGGCCCAGTCCCTGGAAGCATAGGCCACTGGTAGCCTGCTGTGGCCCAGGCCAGATGCCACCCTGACACCTGACAAGGATGTCTCTTGTAATAGTACATCTCACCTCAAGGACAGCTGACAGCATTACTCCCTGCCCACTGGGCTCTGTCCACCCTGCTCTGCCACAGAGATGTGTATTAAAAACAAACAAACAAACAAACAAACAAAAAACCTGAGACCAGGCATGGTAGCTCACACCTGTAATCCTAACATTTTGGGAGGCCAAGACAGGAGGATTGCTTGAGACCAGGAGTTTGAGACTAGCCTGGGCAGTATAATGAGACCCCCTCTCTACCAAAAACTTAAAAAAATTAGCCAGGCATGGTGGCACACATGCACATCAGCTACTTGGGAAGCTGAGGTAAGAGGATGGTTTGAACCCAGGAGTTCAAAGTTGCAGTGAGCCGAGATCGTGCCACTGCATTCCAGCCTGGGTGACAGAGCAAGACCTGTCTTCAAAAAATAAATACGTAAATAAGGCTAACGGAGGACCTCACTAGGTAGTGAAATTGTGGATGATTTTAAATTTGTATCTTCTTTGTCTATTTAAAAACTCTTTTTAGTCCAGGCCGGTGGCTCACGCCTGTAATTCCAGCACTTTGGGAGGCCAAGGTGGGTGGATCACCTGAGGTCGGGAGTTCGAGACCAACCTCACCAACATGGAGAAACCCTTAAAAATACAAAATTAGCCGGGCATGCTGGCCCATGCCTGTAATCCCAGCTACTCGGGAGGCTGAGGCAGGAGAATCGCTTGAACCCAGGAGACGGAGTTTGTGGTGAGCTGAGATTGCGCCATTGCACTCCAGCCTGGGTGGACAACGAGAGCAAAACTCTGTCTCAAAAAAACCTCTTTTTAAAATGAGTATGTATTACTTTTCTGATCCAGAAAAATGAATTTTTTTTAAAGTAGCAGGAGTAGTTTGATGTGACTTGCCTCTGCACCAATAGGAAACTGCCCTTGGCGACATGGCCCGCGTCCCTGATGGGCAGTGCGAGCAGTTCTGCTGCCACTGGGCCTCCCCTAGAGCCAGGCAGGGAGAGGGACACAACTGGCGAGTCTCTTGGCCCCAGACTTCTGTGGGGTTCGGGGCACTGGCTTCTTTTCTAAGGATCCTTGAGGAGGAACTTTGTAGTTTGCAGAACAGCCTGGAGAGGCCTGGGCCCTTGGAGCGGAGGAAGACGAGGTTTTCCTTTATATTCTACTTAGAAGAAAAGTAGAAAGTGGAACGGAGCCCTGTCCCCCTGCTCTGAGCTTCTGGGGTGAGATATGTCACAGAGCGTGCTGCTGCCTGCCTGCTGGCCAGGTAGACTCGAGGGTCCCTGGTGGCCCATCCAGACACCTGCCGGGGCAGGTGGGATCCTAGGGTGGGTGGAGTGCCCTGAGGGGTGGGCAGATGCTGGGCAAGGGTGGGGGCATGTGGCCTCCTAGAGCCTCCCATCAGCAGATCAGACCCCACAGCTAGGGCTCAGGAGTACCTTAGACCACAGCCCCACCCTCACCCACCCTCACCCCCTGCCCATGCCCCATCACAGGCCCCTCACTCCCACCCTCCTCCTCACCTGCCACCTCCAGCCCTCTCCCCTGCCCCCCTGCGCCCCACTGTCTCCTATGCTCCCTCTGCCTCCTTAGCGATGTCCTGCACCGCCCAGAGCCCCTCTGCTCCCATGGATCCCTTTTGGCCCCACTGTGTGGTTCAGGCGTCATTGTGTTCATCAGTTTTGGGGAAGGAAGCGCAGCCTGTTGTCTCCTGCTCTGGGGGCAGCTTGAGAGTCAGGCTGCCCAGAATGCTGCACCCCTTGCCGCCCCAGGTGGAGGCTGGAATGGGGCAGCCCCAGCCATGGGGGCGAAGGGGTCACCTGTGACTTCCTCATCACACCAGGCCAGTTCCCTCCGGAGCGCCAGCCCCTCTGCCCAATCCACAGGCACGGGCTTGCTCGGCATCTCCCTCCTCAGTCTGAGTCTCTGATGGCCACACAGCACCCCCACACACACCCACAGCCCCTCCCCATGGCGGGCCCTGGGGTGCCTGGCCTGGCAGCAGGAGTCCCACCTGCTTGAACCCCAGATTTTTTGCTGTGGGCCGGGGGACCGCAGAACTGGCCTGGCGAGGTCTGGAGCAGCCTCAGGGTAGGCTCGGGAAGGGAGAAGAAAGGGATTTCTAGGGTTCTCAGGAAATGCTTGGGCTGTTCAGGTCCCAGGAACCTTTGCCAGAACAAACTGTAGTGTTCCCTGCTCTGACCCAGGTCTCCCCACCTCCCCTCACAGGACTCCCGATGCAGAGGGCACCCCTGGTGTATGGGGTCCCTTGGAACCAGCCAGAAGAGATGTTCTCTTAGAAACTCCACTGCCTCCGTTGAGGGTTTGGAGCTCAAATGGAGGGCATTCCGTAGCCAGACTGTGGGGAGCGAGGGGGTGCACGGCCTGCGTCCTGTAGAGGGTGCCAGGATCTGGGCAGTGATTTTGGAAGCTGAGCGGGAGAGGGGACATGGAGAGGGAAGGAGCCTCCTGGAGAACCCCTCCTGGGTTGGCCCCGCTAGTGCAACAGCCTCGGCACGGGGCCCCTCCTCAGGCTTCAGCAGCCTTGGGCTCCTTTCTTTCTGGGTGAGCCTCGTGCCCTGCCTGGGGCCGCAGCGGCTTTGTTCTCTGTGCATGAGCTTCAGCCTTCAAGCAGTGGATCTTGGTGGAGAGTCTGACAGAGGCTCTTATGGGTCCCTACTCCACAGGCATCGCCACAGACTCGGGGCAGGACTGGAGCAAAGGAGGGGGCTTAACTTATCCCCGGGCGGAGCCCCACGTCTGAACAGTCGGGGTTGTGCTGAGACAGAGGTAAAGAAGGACAGGCATGGGACAGGATGGGCCGAGACCTCCTGGCCAGACCTGGGCAGGGAGGTGCTTTCTGAACCACCCAGACGCAGCCAGGGCAAGTGTACTAATGCCCTGCCTGGTACCTGCCAAGGGCCAGGAGCTGCTGCCGTGGAGCAGCTGACAGATTTCTGGATGCGCCCCATCTAAGGAACAAGAAGAAACAGAACAGTCATTGCTTTTCTGAACTCATTTCTAACCAACAAAGCTGGAAATTCATCTTAGGAGGAAGCAGGGTCTTACTTTGGAGTTTATGGGGGAACTAAAGGGTGCCCATGTCTTCTTCAAACAGGGAAAGCAAAGTTCAAAACATTTAGAACCCATTTTTTAAAAAAACCGTAAAAAGCAAAGTGGCGGTCAGGCACGGTGGCTCACGCCTGTAATCCCAGCACTCTGGGAGGCCGAGGCGGGTGGATCGCAAGGTCAGGAGATCGAGGACATCCTGGCCAACATGGTGAAACCCCATCTCTATTAAAAATACAAAAATTAGCCTGGCGTGGTGGCGCATGCCTGTAATCCCAGCTACTCTGGAAGTTGAGGCAGGAGAATCGCTTGAACCCAGGATGTGGAGGTTGCAGTAAGTCGAGATCGCGCTACTGAGCTCCAGCCTAGGTGACAGAGAGAGACTCCGTCTCAAAAAAAAAAAAAAAAAAAAAAAAAAAAAAAGCAATGTTACTTCTGAAAGATGAGTGAAGGGACTGTGTGCAATGCTGACTGTCCCTGGAGGGGGAGGACATCAGAGCCCAGGCTGAGAATAACGTCCCAAATGCTGCTTGGGAACAGTTCTAATCACAAGAGTGACATCTTATAAACTGTTCAAAACATGAAAGAAACAAAAACAAACCTAGCGGGGGTCTGCCCTTCCTAGAGAAGACAGCGATGTTAACAGAAGGTGAGGGCAGATAGATGGCGTGACGATGAGGTCTCACATCCTCCAAGGGCCATAGTCTCAGATTATACCAGGATAAGGGCAATATAAGGACAGGTCCCTAAAGTGCAGGGGACCGCCCTGAATGAACTGTCCGAGGCCAGGTGGTTGTCCCATCCCACCTACCCTGCTGGGTGCAGCCTTGTCTTGGGAACCCCTGGCTTGCTCAGCCAACTCGATCCTGAGCATGCGTTTGCAGGGCCTGGAGCCTGTGTGACAATGGACGGGATGGACTTGATCTCAGCAACACATGCCAAGTCCCCATCATACCCTCAAGGACACCATGGAGAGGTGCAGACCCAATGCTGGCCCCATAGTCCCCCTGTCTCTGGCATGGGTTTGGGGCCCTGCACCACTAGCAGGGGAGGCCGAGGAGGACTGGGTGAGCCAAGTGTGGAGTCACGGGGCGATGACATCTGGGGAGGAAGGAGGATACAGGGCATGGCCAGAGCTGCGGCCAGGACTTAGTAAGTCTGAGGCTGAAAGAAGGTCGATGAGGAAGGTTCAACTCTCGCCCTCAGCAGTAGTCTGTGGGGTGCATGTTGGTGTCCAAGGAGGTAGCACTTCCTGGTGACCACAACCTCTGCACACATCACTCCACCAGGATAGTGCCTAAGGGCAGAGGAAAGTCCAGCCGTCAGGGAAGTGATGGACCACGGGGATGGGCTGGGGAAAAGTGCACACAGTTGGACAGGAGGAGCCCAAGATCTATGCTTTTCCCAGGACAAACCAGGGCCAAGACTGACCACAGGATCTGGCCAGCGCTGCTACCGTCCACACCACACAGCAGTGCATGAAGGGGCCGGCTGGCCCCTGGGAGGGCCACACTGAGCTCACTTTGCATCTGGACCCATCTGGATGGCTGTGGATATCTGACCCCATAGCCTCACCCCCCGCTGCCCAGGCTTCCCGTCCCATAGGGAGGCTGAGTCTGCCCACCAGAGGGAAGCCCCCGCAGCCAGCTCGCCATGCTTAGGCTCACAGGCCTTGCCAGGACACAGTTGGCCATTCAAAGGAACAGATGCCAGGCCCCCTCAGGAACAAGGAGGAGGGGCTGGTCCAGGCAGATGAGAGCATCATGGGAAGTAGATGGCCCTCATAGAGGCTTGTCATGGGCTGACTTCAGGGACACAGCCCCCTACGGGAGTTGCAGGAGCAGAAGAGGCCAGGAAGAAGTCTCTAGGTGTAGGCCAGGGAGAAGGGAGGGTGTTTCAACAAAGGGGCAGGACACCCCAGGGCACATGGGGAGGAGGGAAGGCAGGACACCCCAGGGCACATGGAGCATGGAGATAGGATTGTGGCTCCCACTCTGGTGACATTGAAGTGACACCACCAAGGGGCTGTCTCCCATGAGTTGGGGCCTGGTTTCTCCTGACCCCACACACCTCAGGAGTCCTTTACCCGTTAGGACTCTGAGGGCTGGGTTTCTTCAGAAGGAAACTCAGATTCACTTTTAAATGTAATGGCTGACGCTGTGCAGATGGGACCAGGAGGGGTGGGAGCTATTTGAGGAAGAGGGCTGGCCTCCCGTGTCCTCTCTGAATTTGCTGTTAGGAAAACAAAGCCCACTCATCTTGCTGACCCTGGTCACCCTCCTGTCCCCAAGGATCTGGCTGCGATAGAAGGGTCTTGAGGGGGGTCTTCCCATCCCTCCCTTGACCCTGCCCAGTGGGGCGGTGACTGAGACCCCAGGCAGGTGAGCATTGGCAGCCTGTGGCAAATGCCTCCAGGCCCAGCAGGGCAGCCTCGGAGGTGGTGGCTGCTATCACCCTGCATTGTGGAGCTGTCTCCAGGGAGGGGCTTGTGTTGGGCTCCAGGGGCACCTGGGCAGAAGCAGATTCAAGCCACAGGCTCTTGGTGTGTGCAGGGGCTCCGTGGCCCTGGGTCTGATGTGCTCTAGGACAGGTGTCAGGGAGGTGGCCTGAGAGCAGCTTGGACCTCTCCTCCCAGCTAGTCATGGCCTGGAAGAGCCCTGGACTTCTGCCAACAGCCCTCCCTGACTATGAGAGGAAGAGTTGAAGGGGAAGCTCCGTGTGCTCAGTGCTGCGCACACACAGCCCCCTGCCCAGCCCCTCAGATCCCTGGGAGTTGAGTTAGATGCCCCTAGTGCTGCTGGAACTGAGCTGCCCAACACGGTAGCCACCAGCCAATGTGGAAGCTTAGGTTTCACTTTTTTTTTTTTTTTTTTTTTTTTTTTGAGAAGGAGTCTCACTCTGTCGCCTAGGCTGGAGAGCAGTGGAGCCATCTTGGCTCACTGCAACCTCCACCTCCTGGGTTCAAGCAATTCTCCCTGCCTCAACCTCCCGAGTAGCTGGGATTACAGGCATGCGCCACCACACCCAGCTAATTTTTATGTTTTTAGTAGAGACGGGGTTTCGCCATGTTGGCCAGGCTGGTCCTGAACTCCTGACCTCAGGTGATCCGCCCACCTCGGCCTCCCAAAGTGCTGGGATTACAGGTGTGAACCACCACGCCTAGGCGGGTTTCACTTTTTATTAAAATGAAATAACATGTGCCTGAGCACATTATTTCTGCTCCAGCACAGAGCAGCGTCCTGGTGCTTGGGGCTTTCTCACACACCAGGCAGCCGTCTGCCCCCACCCCCAGCCGCCTTGGCCCTTCCCTGTCTTGGTTTTCCAGCTCTCTCACCCGGCCCACTCACCTCAGCCTGCCTTGCAGGGTACAGGCTCAGCCTGGCCTCCCTCCTGAGGGTGCCCACCTTAGGGTCAGGCTTGGCCAGCAGGAGCCTGGGGACAGGGGTGTTTCCTTTGAAAGTCACTTCTGTGTGCCTGGCTGTGCCCTCTGAGCAGATACGGACCCAGAGGGGAAGGCAGGGCCAGGGCCAGGGTTGCTGGCCTTGGAGGTGAGGAAGGAGCTCCAGAGGCCCCTCCTGACCAGCATCTCCTCCCCACTTGACTCGCTTTGTCCCCCTGGTACCCCAGGCCACACAGCACCATTGCCCCTGCCACCAGTGCCTCCTTTTGCTGCTCCCCGGGGCCACTCACACTAACCCACCTGCTGTTTGCCACAGTCACTGCATCCAGCAGATCCTGGAGGCCGTTCTCCATTGTCACCAAATGGGGGTCGTCCACAGAGACCTCAAGGTGAGTCCCCACCCCACTCTGTGCCGGTGTCTGTTGTCTGTACCTGCATGCTGTGTACAAGGAAGTGTGAGGGGCTGGACGGTGTGGGGCACTGTAGAGCTTGGAGGGAGAGAGGTGTATGTGTGTGTGTGTCCTTGTGTGCATGCATGGAGTGTGTGCATGCATGTGCATGTGTATGTGTGTGCACCTCCTGTGTGGAGGGTGTGCATATGTGTGTGCATGTGTGGAGGCATGTGTGCATGCTTATGTGTGTGCACCTGTATGTAAGTGTGCATGTGTCATGCGCATAGAAGTATGTGTGTGCGTGTGCATACATGTGTGTACATGGAGGTTCGTGTATACATATGTGCATGCCTGGGTGGAGGCATTGTGTGTGTATGCACGTGTGTATACATGCTCGTGTGTGCATCTTGCACCTGTGCAGGGATGTGCATGTATGTGCACACATAGAGGTGTGAGTGCATATGTCTGCATGAGTGGTCGCATGTCTGTATGTGTGCCTGTGTGCATGTGTGTATACATATGGTATCTGTGCATGCACATGTGTGTGGGGACTGCATGCATGCATGTGTGTGCATGTGTGTACAAGTGTGTATGTGTGTGCAAACGTGTGTGGGCATGTTTGTGTGAATGCATATGTGAATGTGATATGTGGGTACATGTGTGCGTGTATGCATGTGTGTGCATGTCTTGTGGGCATGTGTGTACATGTGCATGTGTGTGCACTTGTGTGTTGGGGGGGTGTCTGCACATGGCCCTCCCTTCCCCTCCGGACCTTCAGGGCTGGGAGAGGTTAGTCTTCAGAAATCAGCCTGTTGCACTGCACTCCAGCCTGGGCGATAGAGAAAGCTAGTAACAAATGTCCACTCAGGGTCTCACTGTGAGCCCCTGCCAAGACTCCACTCTGGCAGGTGGGACACAGGTAACAGAGGGCTGACACTGTTGGGAGCAGGGTGGTGACATCAGGACTCGCCAGGGTCTGCCAAGTCCTCCCAGCCCTTTCTCCAAGTCTCTGCTGCCCCCAGCTTAGGTCTGGGCAAAACAGTTCTAGGCTCTCTTCGGAAGAAGGTTGGTCACCCCCCAGGGCACAGGGTGGCCTCTCAGAAGCTTAGCTGTCTCTCTGCTCCTCCCTCTCTCCCTTCCTCCCTCTTTCCTTCCTTCCAATCTCCTTTCCTCCTTCTTCAACCCCACCTTCCCCAAGGCTTGGTTCAGCCTGCTGCTTCTCTGTAGACAGGCAAGCAGTGCAGACCCTGGGGCCATCACCCTGAAGGCATTTAAGACCAACCTGCCCACTGGTTTTCATGCTGGATGGGGGTCACACCCTTCCTTAGGCCATCAATGATCTTTGCACTGCTCTGGGGAGAGCGCCACACCAAGAGCAGATCTGGGACCCTCTCCTATGCCCTTTACACGCCACTGTGCCCCCTGCTCCCTCTCATCTCTGCATTCCAAGCATGTCCTGCTGTGTCTCACGTGAGTCAGCCTCACTCAGGCGCCTCTGGGAGGAGACGGCCCCCAGGTGCTCCTCTTGGGGCCACATGGGTTGGTGCTAGGATTCAGTGGTTCTCCTGTGAGGGGTCACAGGCATTTTGTTACCAGACCCCATGATTTATCTGGTTAACTTTGGGGCCAAGGCATAGAAGTGGAGGTCAATGGTACCTCCTCCCCAATCTGAGGGACAAACAGAATTCTTGGTGTCTCAACCTCCTGTTGAGGGGGACAGGATGTCCTTTTCTCCTGGACAGAAATCCACCATCTTGATCGTGACAGCCCAGGAAGCAGCAGAGTGATGGGGTTGCTCTTACCCCACGGGGGAGGGTGGCGGAGAGCAGAGGGCAGTTGATGTCATCCCAGGGAGCTGCAAAAGAGCCAGGATGGAGCTGTAGGTGGGAGCAGCACTAGGTGGCCTAGCAGGGGTGGGCACAGCCTCAGAGCTACCCTGGAGCCTCCAGGCCTTCTCGCCCAGTGCTTCCCACAGCCCATGTTCACTTAATGCTCCTTCTCTTCAGAAGAACTGCTGGTCTGTTTCCTCCGGGAAAGGGGCACCTGCGGCAAGTCTGCTCTGGGCTGGATGGAGAAATGCAGCCCCTGCCCCCCCTCTGTCCGACTTCTCCATGTGGCTGCACAGGGAGCTTAGGGCCTCCACCCACTCATGTTGGCAAAATCACCGTGTCCAGAGGCCTGTGGGTTGGTGCTCGGTAGACAGGGATGCATGTGCCCCAGTAGACTGGGACCCCCACGGTGACGAGGAGGTGGAAGTGGGGGACAGAAGCCCCCAGTGCTGCCCTGTCAAGGGGGCAAACGGCCTCATCCCGCCAGCTCAGTAGAGCGTGGCTGGAGCTTTCAAGGAAGCTCTGGGTTTCTGCTGAGGGACACTCACAGCTCGGGGCTATGGCAGTCTTTCCACATGGGGATAGCATATGTCATTCACTCTGGGGGCCACTTTTTCACATTTCAAGATCTCTGAGGTTTACAACCAGTGTTAAAAGCGGGTGGAGTAGCTCTGTTTTGTCTTTTTTGGCGGCTCATCAAGCAGCAGTGTGATCCCGAGGGTACTGCGCCAGATGGAAGCTGTGCCAGGACAACGGGGCACTCACCAGGGCGAAGGGGTGGCTTGGGAGGCTGGCCAAGGGGACCTGAGGGCTCCAGGGACGCCCCCTGCTGGTCACGGACAAGGAAGGACTGCAGCTGAGAGACCCCACCGCTGGGATGTGGTGAGGCTGATGGGTAGACCAGAGCCTGGTGGGTTTGAAAGCTGGGACAGGAAGGACCCACGGGATGCAGTGGCCCTGGGACCCCCTCAGGCCCTCAGTGCCAAGTGTCCCCAGTCTGGGGACAGCAGCCTCCTTGGCGCTGCTGCAGGACAGGGAGCAGGTGTCCTTCTGGCTTGAGCAAGAGCACTGCTCCCTGTGTCAGGGCCTGAGTAACCCCCGACCTGTGGATACCCAGCGGGCAGGGGCTCATTGCAGGGGCCTCCTTCCTGCCCCATGTAGTGGAGATGACCAGAGCCAGGGGCACTTGGTGGGTGGATGTCCTGGGCTGCCCCTAGTGCTGAGGCCCCTATGTGCTTCTCCTTGCCCTTGGGAGGTCACCATCTCAGTAGGAAATACCTGAACCTCCCCTCAAGAGCCTCCGACACCACATGTCTCTGGGGAGTGGGAAACAGGGAGGAGAGGGAGGGCCATTGCAGTCCCTCAGCCAGTGGGAGTCCGAGGGCCACGGGAGCCCTCAGCCACTGCACGGTCTGCCCCAGAGCTGTGGGGAACATTCAGTTTGCTTGTAAGGATGAGCTTGAGGTTTTGGTCCAACTGGCCCCCAGGTCGCCCTTTCAGGGTATGGGGATCCAAGCTCAGGCTGAGAGCCAGCTTTCCTCTAAAAGGCCAGAGCTGCTGTGTCTCTGTCCCCAGGGGCAGAGGGGCTGTGGGGTTGCAGGCTCAGCATCTGGGACTCTGGGGTGAAGGCTCAGCTGTGCCCTGCAGACACCATGGGGCAGGGCTCAGACCTGTGCACCTGTCTCTTGCAAACCACTGTTTTCTTTGTTTTGTAACCTCCCACCCCTCCCTGTATAACACCTCTGGGTTTAAACAACGTGCACCCTTGTGCCGGTCACCTCCCTGCAGCCGGAGAACCTGCTCCTGGCCAGCAAGTGCAAAGGGGCTGCAGTGAAGCTGGCAGACTTCGGCCTGGCTATCGAGGTGCAGGGGGACCAGCAGGCGTGGTTTGGTGAGTGCCAGGGGCAGGGTGTGTTGGCTGGCAGTCAGCAGGGCAGAAGGTGGTGTGACAGCCCCTCGTGGCCTCTTCCCCTCTCTCTAGGGTTCGCTGGCACACCAGGCTACCTGTCCCCTGAGGTCCTTCGCAAAGAGGCGTATGGCAAGCCCGTGGACATCTGGGCATGTGGTGAGGCCTGGCCTGAGTTGGTGCAGGGCAGGGCCTCGGGTGTTTTAGGACTTCCCACCTACATCCTGGAGTGTGCAGTGACCAGCATGTGTTGCTCTCATCTGGATTTATCTGTGTCAGAGCTGCCCTGGCAGGGGTCTTCCCACGCAGCCAGGAGCTCCCTTTCCACCCAGATTAGAATCACTCACATGACCCTGGCGCACCCCAGTGCTTGCCTGCGCTCAGCAGAGGTCTGGTCCAGAGGTGTGGTGGGTGGACGGGAGTGGAGAGGAGAGGTCAGAGACTGTTGGGCCATGGGCAGGGCCCCTTCTTGGGTAGGGGTATCCTCCCACAGAGGTGGGTAGCAGCAGAGGGGCTTAGCGCCACCCGCATCCGCATCCCCGTGATAGTTTGGGTGTGGGGCAGAGTGTGGAGGGGTTGGCTGTGCCCTTCTGCCCCAGCGTCTGCAGCACAGGTGGGGGCAAAGGAATGCTGGGGACCCCAGTGCCCTCCCAGGGCCACAGGAGCTGGGCAGTGAGGGTGCAGGGCATGGGCTCCATGGATGGTGGCACCCTACGAGTGGCTGTGGTGCTCACAGGCCCCATCCGCAGGGGTGATCCTGTACATCCTGCTCGTGGGCTACCCACCCTTCTGGGACGAGGACCAGCACAAGCTGTACCAGCAGATCAAGGCCGGCGCCTACGACGTGAGTGCACTGGCCCCGCTCTGACGTGCTCCCTTCCTCCAGGTGTGGCCGGGTAAGGGCAGCATGGGAAGAGGCCAGGAGTAGGGTGAAGCCACCTGTGGCCAGGTCCTGGGTCGTGCTCTCCCAGATTGGTGGCCAGAGATGAAGCCCCTTGGAGAATTCTGGCCCCTGCCCGAGAGGGGGCTTCAGGCCTGGCTGGGGCACTGTTTCCTTCTGCAGTTCCCGTCCCCCGAATGGGACACTGTCACTCCTGAAGCCAAAAACCTAATCAACCAGATGCTGACCATCAACCCTGCCAAGCGCATCACAGCCCATGAGGCCCTGAAGCATCCGTGGGTCTGCGTGAGTCGCCCTCGGTGCCCGTGGCGGGGAGGGGGCTCCTGGTGGAGGTGGCCTCAGACCACTCCCCTGGCGAGGGCCCCAAGAGGGTCCTGTTCCTGACACCCAAGAGCTCCCCTGGGTCCCCTGGGTGCTCCTTGTGGCCTCTGGCTTGGGACACACCAGCACGTTTGTGAGGCCTGGGGCTTGGAGGGCATTGGAGGGTAGAAGCAATCCCTTCCTCCCAACTGCAGTCCTGTCTGTGAGGGACAGAGTGGTGAGGCAAGGGAAAGGCAAGTCCTAAATCCCAGGCAGGTTGGGGGGACGGATGGCCCTTGCTGCAGTGGTGGCTGATGGCTCTTGGCATGTGGGGACCCCGGGGTGCCGCAAGTCTTGCCACCCTGGCCTCTCCCCTGTGCCTTGGGCTCCTGGCTGCCATATGACCACCCCTTTCCCCACAGCAACGTTCCACGGTAGCCTCCATGATGCACAGACAGGAGACTGTGGAGTGTCTGAAAAAGTTCAATGCCAGGAGAAAGCTCAAGGTGAGGCCCTGGCCCCTAGTCCCAGGCATGGCCATGCTTCCCTGCGTCCCTCTGGGCTGGAGCAGAGGGGCCTTGGAGGGTCTGGGCAGACCTAGGGGTTGCTGCTGCCCCCAGGACTGAGTGTTAGCAAGTCCCAGACTGGATGCATCAGGTGAACTCAGGCCAGCTTGGGAACGAGTCCAGAGGGGCCGTGGGCCAGGTGTGGCCCCTCCTAGTTGTCTGTGCCACCTCCGAGCAGCCCTTGGAGGGGCCGTCCTGAAGTGCTGGCTGCAGACTCCTCACCTGGGCTCTGCAGGCAGTACGCACCATCTGGCAGTCACATTCTTTAGTACAAGCAAGTCTGAAGCTTCCGGCTCAGACAGGTTTGGTAAGGAGAGCGGAGCCACACACACTGGTCTTGGGTGGGCCGGGGGAGGTCGGGGAGGGAGGTGGGCACCAGTAGGGTATCCGACCTGCCTGCTTTGGCCAGGGCTGGCTCCGGTGACCGCACTCTACTCGTGAGTTCCAGGCTGGGGACTTGTTGCCTGACTGCCCTCTACTGGTCTCTGAGCGGTTCTCCCCGGAAGCCCCAGGACTGGTGCCCTGTCTGAGCCTGTCAGGAAAGGAAGGGGCTGTCAGGGAGCTGGACCCCAGAGGAGCTGCCAAGGTGACCAGCTGTTCTGGTGACCACTGAGGCGTGAGGGGTCTTGAAGCAGTTAGAAACTGTAGTTGGTCAACAGGTTTAGGCCCAGGGTGTGTGTAATTCTGGAAATAGGTGATCTGCCTCAGTGCGACTGCTGGATTCCTGGAGCTCTTGCCTCTCTGGAAGGCTGAGGTCATGTCAGCCTCATGACCATGAGTCTGAGCATCTGGGCAGGAGGACAGGGGTCTTACCCTGGCCAGAAGCCAGCAGGGAACACTGATGGGACAGCCCTGGTTTTATCTGTGTCTCTCCCCAGGGAGCCATCCTCACCACCATGCTGGCCACACGGAATTTCTCAGGTGAGCCTTTCTTCTCCAGAGAGACAGGGGCTGCCCCATCCCTGCTGGCCCATGCAGGAGAGCGCCTCCTTCCTCACCAGCCTCTCCACCCCTCCTCTGCGGCAGGCCCTCCCTCGGCGTCTGCCTCACTCAGCTCTGAGACCCACTGCCCACCTGGCCCCTCTGGGCTCCCACCTTGGGTGATACCACAGGGTCCAGCCCCCTGAGGCCATCACCTTCGTGCTGGGTCTGTGTCCCTCCACCCCGTGAACACGAGCGTCTGTGCTGCCCCACTGGGGCTCACAGCATCGTGTGTGTCTGTCCAGGCGTTTGTCGGGCATCTGTGTGGCCTCCTTGTCATTTTGAGTGCTCTGAGCAATGTGTTTTGTGCGGGAGGAGGGCAGAAGGGATGCGGGGTGATGCGGGAGGCTCGGGGGCCTCCTTCCGAGTTCTGGATGAGCTGCAGCCTCCTGCCCCGGCCGCTCAGAGTGGGTGGTTGGGAAGCAAGTTCTCTTGGTGGGGTGTGGGGTGTGGTGGAGGGGTGGGGTCTGTTATAGACCCCTGAGGCCCAGGGCGCTGGCAGACCCATCTGGGGCATGACGTTAGCCCCAGAGTGGAGCTGGCAGCCCAGGTCTGGACAAGCTGTGCCCGTGGCTTCTCCGTCGTCCGACACTCCGTGTGCGAGCGTCTGTGATCCGTCTCTCTCGTTGTCCGTTTGCATCTGGCGCCCCCCACCCGCCATCCTGTTACTTTTGCTGTGATGCTGTACTGCCGGGAACGCGTGCACACGGTCACACCAACACTAATAGGACTGTCCTGTCTGCTGTGTGCTCACCACACCCTTCGGGCACGAGAAGCCCCCACTGGGGTTTTCTAAGGAGAAAGGAGGCAAATGCTTTTCCGTGTCAATCAGTCCAATCTTGTTTTCACTCTCTTGAGCAAAGGATTCTGGAACCATCTGTCACCTAAACTTTAACTCTAATCTTCTTCTGCTTCCTTTGTCTCTTTTCTTCCCTTACCTCGCCCACCCCTCGTCTGTGTCCGCCCACCCCTCCCTTCCCCTCGTCTCTAACCCGGTGCTAACAGTGGGCAGACAGACCACCGCTCCGGCCACAATGTCCACCGCGGCCTCCGGCACCACCATGGGGCTGGTGGAACAAGGTAGATGTGTCTCGACCAGCGTCCCGCCCGCTCCCGCCCATCCCTCCTGCCAGCATGCAGCCCCCTGCTGCACACAGCCGCTGGCTGGGCTCCAGAGCCGCCCCAGAGGCCGCCAGGCCCCCGGGAGCCCCTGCTCCCGTGTGGTCGCATCCCAGCAGAGCCCACCGCAAGGGCAGGGAGGCAGCCCCCAAGGCTCCTCGCCTGTAAGAGGAGGGGCTGGGCTAGGTGACCCATGGGCCACACCAAGCCCTTCTGGTCCTGGCCCCTGAGGTCTGGGGGTCTGGAGACCCCCATTAAGAATGGCCTGGGCCCCACAGGGAGCCACTGGGCCTGCTGCTGGGGGGTCTGAGTCCTGAAAGGAGAGCCTTGGGGAGCAGGGCCAGAGAGGCAGAGGCCCTTGGGGCAGACCCTCACCCTGCCCCTTGGGGGCTGCACGGAGACGGTGGTCTGTGCTGCTGAGTCCCACAAGTGCATGTCTGCCCCGAGCCTCCCCCCAGGACAGGCCGCTCTGGAGCGGGGTGGGGCTTTTAGGCACCCAGAGGAGACTTTCAGGGTTTCCTCTTGGGTTGTTTCTGCAAAGTCCTCCTCCCCTGGCACCAAACCCTGTGAGGAAGAAGGCCGGCACTGCCCACCTGCTCCTCTGGGCTGTGCAGGGCCAGAGCCCAGAGGCCCAGGTTGGCTTCTGCCCACCTGCTGGCTTGTGACCATGGACAGACCCCATGAGGGCTAAGTGACCCCAAGACCTCCTTGCAGCTCCAGCCTGAGCTGAGGGCTGGTGAGAGCTTAGGTTAGGCCAAGCTGGCAACGCCTGGCCACAGAACACAGAGGGCTAAAGGGCTAACCCCAAGTCCTCCCTGGGCTGAGCTACCGAGTTCCCTGTCAGTGCCTCCAACATGGGCTGGGGACCGAGCAGAGGTTCTAGGGTGCTGGGGACTGCCTTCCCCAGGCCTCCTCATGACCCCACAGGGTAAGCAGCCTGGCCTTCCCAGCCAGAGACCTCCTCCTGGGGAGGCCCAGGCCGTCCTCAGGGAGGGCAGTCTGTTCTCCTCCCATGAGCCCAGTGGATGTGTCTAGCAGGCAGCACCCCAGGAGGGCCCTCCTGCGTCTGCTCCATTTGACAGGCCTTTCCAGAGCACAGGCGGAAGGGGGCTGTGATTAGAAAAGGATGAGGCTAGTGGCTTCTGGGGAGGTGCTGCTGCCCAGGTGACAGTGCTGAGAGACAGCTGCCTCTACGCTGCCCTGTGCCCGGGGCTCCCGCTGCAATGCCCGCCTGCCTGCAAGTGAACGTGGGGCGACGGTGCATGAGGCCCTGCATGTGTGGCTCCACCCTGGGCGCCGAGAGCGGCTCTGTCCTGGAGGGTGGTCAGTGCATGTGGACAGAGCCCAGCATGGCTGTCCTGGGTGACCAGCTAGGGGGACAAGGCAGAGGCGGGGCTGAGGGGACCGCCCATCCTGCTAGGTCAGCCCAGCTCAGCCATACCACACGGCAGTGAGCAGGGAGCTCAGTTCTCTGCCCATGGCAGCTGAGTCTGGTACCATCCAGTCAGAGTCTGGTACCAGCCCATGTGGCATAGCCCCCTCGACCCTCAGAGAGACCCCGTCTGTCAAGTGTGCTTCAGTTTGGCCTCTGTGGTCTCTCCTGCACTGATCGGGTGTAACGGCATAGGAGACCCAGTGTCCGGCCAGCTTCAGGGTGGCAGCAGTTGCCCCGGCCTGGAGACCTGGGAATGGGCAGTGCCTTCCCAGGATGGAGGGCAGAGGGTCTCTCCTTGTCCCACAGAGGCCTGCGGAACCCCCAGCCCAGGTATCTGGGATGCCTGTGACTGCTCCGCCTACTCTAGGCTCCTGCGGCACCTAACACATGCTTTGAACTTGAGACACAGAAAGGCAGTTCCCGTGCCCTTGAACGCTAGTGTAGATGGGTGTCAACAGGACTCTGGCCACAGTGAATCTGTAGTTAGTCCCAGGCGGAGATATGAAATGAGCAGCCCCCCAAAAAATGGGTGGCCAGGAGCCATGCGCTTGGGAGGGCCGGGCCTGTGCACCCCACACTCACCCAAGGCGTGCACAAGCGATTGTTGTAAAAGCGGGCTCACAGGGAAGGATGTTTGGGAACTGACTGAGACCACAGGGGCGTCTGCTGCAGGGCTTCCCAGAGCGCTGATGGCAGCGTTGGCCTGAGTCCTTCAATGAGGGCTGGTTTGTACGTGGCATTTGCCGCCCACTGGACTGTGAACTTCTGTCTTTTTATTTCCCACTGCTGCTGTGGTACATCTCCAGCAGCACAGTTTGGAAATGCGGGTTTTGATAAGCTCAAGGATCTAAATGGAACCCTCAGTACCAAGGACTGTCTGGGGTCTCTGTCAACCCCGCCGATGGGCCTAACTGTGTTGCCTCCTTTCCTGTGAGGATTTTCTGAGGACATGCCCGGGGAAAGAGCTCAGTTCCGCTGCTGACTGGGGCGCCGTGCTGGCCCCAGTTCCAATGCAGAGCCTGGCTGGACGTGCCGCTGGGTTGGCAGAGGCTGCGTGCCTGGCTGTCCCCTCGGGGGTGGGTAGAACCTGCCTTCTGCATACCGCCTGCTTCAGTTGGCCACAGCTTTTTAAAATGTGTGTTTCTGGAAAGGACTGGGTCCCTTCCTTGCCTGTTCAGCTCCCCACGACAGGGCGAGGCTGGATGCCTCCTTCCTCGGGCTCCTAAGAGGAGCCTGTCCCCCAGCCGTGTCGGGCAGCTGGTCACCAGCAAGGACAGTATCCCCTAGCTGCAGCCTCTGGCTGGCTGGCGCTGGGCAGATGTTTCTGAGATGAGTCGTGTGTGCTGGAGATGGGAGGGGAGCAGAGAGGGCGGGATACACAGAAAGGTGAGGGGGCTATGGGGGCCTTGAAACCCTGAGTTCTGAGTCTTCAAGACTCTCCCTCCACAGCCAAGTTACAGGGAAGCAGATTTGAGCCACAGGGAAGCAGATTTGAGCCACAGCGAAGGGGAGAGTTTTCAGTTTGCGCTGTAAGGAAGTGGGCAGTCGGCATTTCTGGTCCTGGGAACTCACTGGGCAGGGCTGCCTTGGGGCATCAGGGAGGTGGTCCTGTGCGCAGCTTCACCAGGTGGGGCCTTAGGCCTGGGGACGGGAGAGTGATGCCTGAGGCCCCTCTACTTCTCCATGGATCCTGGGAGGGACTCCTGGGCTTGATACAAAATTGTTGAGCGTTAAGAGATCTGTGAAGAAAGGGAGGCTGGGAATAGGAACTGTGCCCACTGCACATGGGGTCCCCGGGGCCACGTGCAGCCACTGGTCAGGCACGACCCCAGTCCCTACAGAGCCCAGGAGGGGCCAGGGCCATGGAGGAGGAGCACTGGGCATGTGGACAGGGAGGGGGTGGTCAGCAGGCAGCAGGCCCAGGCCTGTCTGTGTCCTGCGGGGTGCAGCCTCCTGATCTCCACGGCAACCTGGAGCACCCAGCGTCAGAACCACCGGGAGGGCTTATGGAACAGATGTCCCACCCTGGAGAGGTTCTGGCTCAGGAGGGTGGGGTGGGCCTGGGAATTTGCATTTCTGACTGTACAGGGCAATTCTGCTGCTGCTGCTGCTGGGGTGGGGGAAGGATCCCATTTGAGAAGCGCTGCAGTCCTAGGTTGAAAGGTGCCTGTCTGTCCCCACCAAGGCCTGTATGGGCAGCCCGGGGTCCCCAGGCAGGAGAACCCAATTTCACGGCCTGGCCAGCCAGGGTCCTGGAGCCAGGAGGTGGGGGAGGGGTGGGGGGGTTGCTGTGCCACCTTCCTTCCTGGCTTGGCCCGGGGGCAAGCATCCCCACACTTCCCACGTCGTCATCCCCTGGGCTCCAGCCTGGCTGCCTCTCTAACCCTGTTGCACCGGCTGGCCGCATGGCCCTGGCTCTTTTTGGTGAGCGTGGTCCAGGACAGGTCACCTGTGAGTCCTGGGCCCGCAGGCTTGCGCCCCTTCCCGAACCAACACAAATCTTGTTTTCTCTCTCTCTCTCTTCCTTCCTCACTCCCTCCCCTTCTCACCTTTCCTTTTCTGTAAGGTAAGCTGACTTCCTCTTTTGGTTTATTTTTTATTTTTTTATTTATTAGTTCTGTAATTAAAATCCTAACAGCCGTGGAGAGTGTGGGCACCAGGGGCTGGGGCCAGGCCCCCCTGACCTCCGCAGGGGAGTGTTGGGTGAGGCGGAGACCCCACTGCTGGGACCAAGTGTCCTCAGGGGCTTGTGGGCAGAAAGGCCTGTGCTGACCCCAGTCAGTGCACAGAAGCGGCCGCAAAGCCAGGGCTGCCGGGCAGCTCGGAATGAGGGCGAGCAGGGCTGCCCTCGGTGCCTGAGCTGAGAGGCCCACTGGGCAGAGCTCTGAGGCCTGGGTGCCAAGGTACGGGGGTCTGAGAGCAAGGTGAGCGCCTGGGCTGGGACAAGGCCCTCTGAGTGGGCGGCCAGCTGCAGCCCACCCACCCCTACCCCAGGATGGCGTGGCCCGGGAGGGCATGACCTCTGGGGTGCTGGCTCAGCTGCCCCCACCCCAACCTGGCACCGCTAGTCCTGAGTTCCCATCATGGAGGAGGCGGCATCCTGCCTTCCTCCAGGAAGAGCTTGCATGTGGCCCAGAAGCCAATGGGACTCCCCAGCACCCACGCGCATCTCTGGGTCTGGTCAGAGGAGAAATCCGGATGCCTATAGGAGCCCCAGGGTCACGGAGGAGGCTGGAGACAGGGCTGTCCTGGCGTGACGGGACGGCCCCCCACGGGCTCAGAGCCAGCTTGGGTGCTGGAGCCACACTTGCCTCAGGACCCTGGGCTTGCTCCTGGGGAAAGAGTGGGGTCAGGCAAAGGGGTGGGGGTGCGCTGCAGCGAGACCCAGGCCCAGCACTCACCATGCCTTTTTCCTCCCCATGCAGCAGCCAAGAGTTTACTCAACAAGAAAGCAGATGGAGTCAAGGTGAGGCTCCGGCCGGGCCCTGGGGTGCCGGGGGGCCCAGAGCCTGCAGCTTCACCCCCACTCCCTGGGGCTCCTGCTCTGGAGTCCCCCTCCCCCCATATCCTGGCAGACATGGGATGGGGAATTGGCGAGTGAGGGGCTTCTCCCGCCTAAGGGTTCCTCTTCCCTCTCTCCACAGCCCCAGACGAATAGCACCAAAAACAGTGCAGCCGCCACCAGCCCCAAAGGGACGCTTCCTCCTGCCGCCCTGGTACTGAGCTCCTCAAACTCTGCCTCTCAGCCCCTCCTACGCCCCTGGCTGTGTGATTGCTGCTGGTCAGAGGGGGCCTGGTGAAGGTGGGGTCCGGCCCCGCCTGGCCTGTCTGACAGCACTCGCATGGCCCCCGCCCCTCATCCCTCACCAGTGGTGAAGTGGAGAGAAGAGGCCACTGTTGCAGGAGGCTCCACTTCAGACAGGTTTAGGGCTGCTCTGGGGAACCCCTGACTGAGACCCACAGATGTTGGGGTACTGGGGAGAGGCCCAGCCTCCTACCCATGTTGACTTGTGGATGTCTCTCCAGGAGTGTTCAGGAAGTCAGTGAGGCAGAGGACACCCTCTCCCCGCCAGGACCCCACCCTTAGCTCCCCCACCATCCTCAACAGGCCGACCCACAGACCACTCCCAGGGTCTGGCTTGGTGGGGCTGGGCCAGGCTCTGCAGGGGGAACAGCCCGTAGTGGCACATTCCATGGCCCGTGGGGAGACGGGGCCACAGTGGTGCAGTAGAGAGGTGTCTAGGTCAGGGCCATCCAAGGAGGGGGCTTGCCGTCACGTCTGTGTTCCCTCAGGAGCTAGCACACCCGTGCTGCTCTGTGGCTGCCTGAGAGGCAGGACTTAGGGGCTCCCTGCCGGGGAGGGGAGGGATCCCCACCATGCTCCGCTCCGACTGCGCTCCTCAGTGCCCCTTGCCCTGGGGGCTCCTACAGGTGAACCCTACAGCAGTACTCCCAAGGATGTAAAGTTGTGGCTGGTGGGTGCCGGCCTTCCTGCTGGGGCACTGTGCTGTGTCCCCTCAGCTGTCCTAAGAGCTTTGGGGCTTGCTGGCCCATAGGTCCCCACATTTGCTGGAAGCAGGTTTGGTGTCCCCTGAGAACCCCAGGCCAGGCTTCGGGAGCCAGCCCCAGACCACCCACGGGAATACCGGGTTTGCCAAATGGCCACCCTGAGACCCAGGAGAGGAGAGCGGTCCTGGGAGGGGCGAGCTGCTCAGAGCAGCCAGGCCATGGCTGGAGGGTGGCCTGGTGCCAGCCTACCTAAGGCCTTCCAGTGGCCAGGGTGGCCCACGTGCCAGCCTCACAGCCAGCCCCATCTCGGACCCTGTCCATCCCATGTGCCACCCCCACCCCCATGACATCTTCAGACCTGTGCCCCCCACCACGCTGGGGCACAGGGTCAAGCAGCAAAGGGTGGGGAGAACTCCCCAAGGCCGAGCCTGGCTTCTCTGGCTCCCACACACATTGTGCAGCTTGTCGGGGCCCCACGCAGTCCATCTCCTGCCCTGGACAGCAGCACCTCCGCCAGCCTGGACAGAGCTCCTGTCCATTCCATCCCTGCCGTCTGACCCAGGCTCCTCCCGCAGCTGCTCCACGCCGCCTCCATCCCTGTCCCCCACTCTGCTCTGCACTTCTTTCTCGCAGGCTCTGGCCACCCACGCCTCCTCTGTCTCCCTGTTCCCCTCCTGGTGGTCTCTGCTTCCTCCTCTTCTCACTTTCCCTCTCTTTCCTTCCTCTGTGTCTTCCTTCTTCTGTAGGAGCCTCAAACCACCGTCATCCATAACCCAGTGGACGGGATTAAGGTACTGCCCCCCTTTCCTCCTCCCGCTTTCCCCAGGCAGGAGGCTCCAGGCCAGGAAAGAGGTCTGGGGCAGCATTTGTGCCAGAGTGGAGGGCAGATGTCCCATGGCCCTGGCCGCCCCTCCCCACAGCACAGCAGGGCCCCAGTCCATCTTTGTGGGCAACAACACGACAGACTGGTTCAGGCCCCAGGCGTGCCCCTGGAGGTGCTTGGCACAGTTGCGCCCAGTCCCCATGTGGCCAACACTCTCAGACCAGGGCTCCGCGTGTCCCACCTACTGCAGGCGGTAGGGCTTCCTGAGGTCTGGAGTGGGGCCTGCATCTCAGGAGCTGTGTCCTTGACTCTCCTGGCTATCCTCCACCCCACCTCCCTCACGCGGCCCCCAGTGCTTCCTGCTGAGCAGACCCTCCCTCCTCTGCTCCCCTCTCTGCTCTGGCCATCAGCTCCCATCACATTGACATCATCACTCTGGGGCCAGGGAAGGGGCTGGCTCTCTGGGGTGGTGGGAGGGATGGGGCCAGCAGCCAAGCCATTTCCAGGACTTCCAAAACAGCGCCGCTACACCCAACACAGCCCTCCAGCCCAGCTCCCACCTAGGCCTGGGCTCCTTACAGAGCCCCCAGAGTGCCTCTGTGGGGACCCCCACTTCCTTCTGGCCAGTGCCACCACCCAGCCCATCATCAGAAGACATCTTTCTCCATGGCAGGGACCAAGGGGCACCCATGGTGCTAGGCCAGGACCTGGGTGTTCTCCCCACCTGGCAGCTGGGGATGGGTGCCCCTGGGACCCATGTGTGTCTGGGGTGGGTCATGTTCTCTGCAAGACTCCTAAACAACCTTCTGGGCTGTGGTGAACTCTGACCCTGCACCTAAAGACCTGTAGTTCTGGTCTAGGGACCCCGAGCAGTGTCCAGGCAGTGTCCAGACCAGGTGGCGGTCCCCCAGGGACCTCGTGAGATGTTTCCTCTGAGGAGCAGAGCAGGCCTCCTGGGGAGCTGGGGGATGGTCTTTTGAAGGGCAGCATCCTTGGAGCAGGGTGGGAGAGACTGGGCCACCTCTGCCCTCTAAGGCCACCTGAGAGGTGAGGCCGGGGCCTGGCTGGACGTCCAGTCCCGGAGGGGCAGGTGCCCTGAGGGAATGTGGGTGGCAGGAGTGCTCTGCCTGGGGCCAGGCCAAGGTTCCTGGAGCCCTGTGCGGATCTGCAGAGCTACTGGAAACACCTCACCCTGTATTTTGGATGACAGCGGCTGCTGCTTCATCGGAACCAGCCAGTCCCATTGTGTTTTACGTCTTGGAATTTCAAAAAGCCCGTTTTCCTCTCTTGTTAAAGAGTCAGCTGAGCATACCAGTCTCTGTGCCAGGCTCATCTTGCTGGGAGAATTGGAGCCCTCATGTATTGGGGATGCAGGGTGGCCACAGCACTAGGGTGGCAGGGCCAGCCTCGGACTCTGTGCCAGCCTGTGCCGGCTGCCATGAGAATGCGCCCTGGTGAGGGGCACCCTCCCAGGGACCAGCACAGAACTGGGTGTCTTCTCCAGTCACTGCCGCATTAGGTCCACAGAGCTGGGGCACTGCAACCACCAGAGGGCATGTCCCCTGAGCCCCTGGCCTTTAAGCCCGGTCAAAGCAGCTGGGGCAGAGGTCAGCCTCAGAGCCTGGGCTGGTCCTGATGCAGGCCCAGCCCTGTCCACCTGCCCTCAGCCACGTCCCACCTGTGCTTGGCCGCATCCTGACCCACTGCCTCCCATGTTTCCTCAGGAGTCTTCTGACAGTGCCAACACCACCATAGAGGATGAAGACGCTAAAGGTACCTGCACTTGCATCCTTGTCCCGCAGCGGCCTTGGCACTGCTGGGCTGCTCTTTGAGGCGGGTGGGACTTGTGCAGGGTCAGCTCTCCTGCGATGCCTGGTGTGTGCATGTGTTGGGGGGCTCGGGGGCCCTGTAGCTGCAATCCCACCCCAAGCCTGGGTGTCAGGCCTGCCCAGAGAGTGGGAAGTGTGGCAGAGATGACTGGCAGCCAGGCAGTCTCCGTCACCGCATCCAAGTGAGGAAGCCACGGCTTTGCGCAGAGGCAGGTTCTCCACACCAGGACCCTCACGGGGAAACAGGTTCATGGGTAGAACTTTTTCCAGGATGCTGTCCTTGTCTTAAAGCTCCCTAAGCTTGCATTTCTGTCCAGCGTGCACTTGCCGAGTGGCCGGGCAGCTGGGTGGGTGCTTCCGTGTTTGCCTTTGCTGAACCAGGAGTGGCCTCCTGCGGTGGGTTTCTGCACCACAGATTCCAGGGCCCCCTCCCTTGCTCACCCAGGCCAATGTCTTGTGTGTTCCTCAAGAGGCCCCCAGGGCACCCGGCACTGGGGCAAGTTCCATGGAGTCCGCTGCCTCCAGACCACCCACATGGGGCCTCCTGACCCTCATCACTCACACGGTCACCTAGTAAGCCCTACGCTGTTCTCAGGGCTGCCCCGGTGCCTGACAAGGGTCAGCCACTCTGCCAGTTTAGGGGAGAAAACTTCTCACCTGTCCAAAGCTTAGCCTTGCTCCTGCGCACGCTATCCAGCTATGACACTGTCCCTGAGCAGAGATGAGCACAGGACCTCGGGCCCTGCATGCCACAGAGTGGGTGTGCGATTCCCCTGCAGTCTGGAACAGGCCCCAAAGGCGATGGCATGGAGGCTGTCCAGAGGTTCTGCCATCACCCTCAGCCCGGTGGGGCGCTGAGCACTGAGGGAGGGGACCTGGGAGGGGGGCCCAGCCTGGATCCTGTAGGGGAGAAGAGAAGACACCCCGAAGCAGCAGTTGTGGCTCAGATTTGAGCCCGAGCAGCCTCTTGAGGTGGAGGCAGACACCCCCACCCCACCGGGTGCAGAAAGAAACCTTGCCAGGCTGCCCTGAGGCTGGTACGGAGTCCAGGCAGGCCCAGTGGCCATCATGCCCCTACGATGACTGTCACTCCTCCTCCGTGGGCCTGGCCTTTGCTGGCTCTGGCCAGGAGTGGTCACAGCACTAGGGTGGCAGGGTGGCCTCTGACTCCATGCCAGCCTGCACTGGCCTGTGCTGCCCTGGCCTCTGCTGGCTCTGGCACTGGCCCCGTGTTGGCTCCTTCAGCCTTCACATATCTGCTGTGGCCACCACAGGCCCAGGACCCCCATAGGGTGGCCACCCCACCTCCACCCCAGGAGCCCCAGGTATCCAGCTGTCATCCCCTTCCTCCCTCCTGGCCTCCCCCTGTCCTTCTCCAGTTGCATTCTTTTCCTGCGGGCGCCCCACACACCTGCCTACCTCACCTGTTCCGCCTCAGCCCCCAGGGTCCCTGACATCCTGAGCTCAGTGAGGAGGGGCTCGGGAGCCCCAGAAGCCGAGGGGCCCCTGCCCTGCCCATCTCCAGCTCCAGCTCCCTTTAGCCCCCTGCCAGCCCCAAGTAAGTAGCCTGGGCCCTGCTGCTGTGGGGGTCATGTTGGAGGGCTGGTAACCCCCTAGAGGGGCCGCTCCAGAGCCAAGGGCAGGCTGAGCATGGACCCTGGCTCCAGCCTCATCACCCCACAACCCCTCACTGGGGCTTCCCAGGGCGGCCCCAGCCCATCGAGCCTCACCTCTTTGTGAGGTAGGCCCTGGACCACTTTCCTGCTCAAAGCCACTGGGCAGGATAGGAGGCCCCGGAGGCTCGGGCCTCAATTCCAGTCTTCAGGGTTGGCACAGGCCTCACTCCACCTCAGCTTGTGGGAGGGGGGAGCTCCTTGCTGTTGAGGCAGGCTCTGATTCGGGGCCTGACCCCAGGCCCCAAGGGGTCTGGAACACGGGACCCCTACCACTGACCTCCTCCGCCTTGCCGCCTCCTCGTATGTCTGTCTGCCTCATGTTCACGTCTCATCTGTTCCACCCCAGCCCCCAGGATCTCTGACATCCTGAACTCTGTGAGAAGGGGCTCAGGAACCCCAGAAGCCGAGGGCCCCCTCTCAGCGGGGCCCCTGCCCTGCCTGTCTCCGGCTCTCCTAGGCCCCCTACCCTCCCCATGTAAGTAGTGGCCCCAGGCCTGCCGCCTCTGCTGCCGGACAGCTCCCTGCGAATGGCCGGCGCTCAGCAGCTTCCCACCTGCGTGCACGGCCCAGCTACCCTGCCCCGGCGCCGCAGCCTGGCGTCCTGCCCTGGTGGGGCTTCCTGTGGGCTCTCACCCTAACCAGCAGAGCAGCTCCTGGCTTCTCCCTTAGGGGCCCAGCCCCTTACACGGTTCCTGCTCCCACTGCTACTCCCCGCTCGCTGTCCAGCCCCAGGCCCCTCCCAAAAGGGTCTGTCTGGCCCCTCTGAGGCCCCCCATGTCCCTAGACCCTCTCTGCTCATCACTGTCCCAGCCCCAGACTTCACACCCACCCAGGGGCCCTGCCCATGGTGCCCAGGAGCCTGCACTCAGGGCCACCCTGGTTCCTGATGTGACCCCAACCCCTGAGTGCCCTTCCTCAGTCTAGGGGGCTGAGGAAGGTGCCAGAACGGAAACCCCGGCCAGGGTCCCTGGGGCTCACGAACAAGGGGATAGTATGGAGAATCATAAGCCTGGGCTCCGCTGACCTGGGCTGTCCTCATGGGGCCAGGCCAGGCCAGGCCTCCTCTGTACCGCCCGTGACTCCTGCCTCTCCCTGTAACCCTGTCCAGCGTTCCTCAAGGGCCACTTACCTGACAGCTTCTTGCTGGCCAGCAGCCTCTCCCTGGAGTGTGCCCTCTGCCCACAGCAGCTTCAGCCCATGCCACCCGACAGCCAGAGCACCCACCCTTCACTCCTGCAGCCTCCTCTTCACGCACCACGCTGTCCCCAGCAGCACCCTCTGTCCTCCTGTCTCCCTCTGTCTCCCCATATCCCCCTTGGTCACCCTACAACCTCTCTACCCACTTCCGTCCCCCTAAGTTCACCCTCTATCCCTACATCCCCCTCTGTCCCCCAAATTCCCCTCTTTCCCTCATGTTTCTGTTTTCCTCCCCAAACTCCGCTCTGTCCCTCACATTCTCCCTCTGTCCCCCACACCCCCTTCTGTCCCCCACACCCCCTTCTGTCTCCCACACCCGCTCTGTCCCCCACATCCCCCACTGTCCCCACACACCCTCCTCTGTCACCCACACACCCCTCTGTCCCCCACACCCCCTTCTGTCCCCCATACCCTTCTGTGTCCCCCACATACCCCTCTGTCCCCCCACCCCTTCTGTCCCCCACACCTTCCTCTGCCCCCCACATCCCCCTCTGTCCCCCATATCTCCCTCTGTCCCCCACACACTCCCTCTGTCCCCCATATCTCCCTCTGTCCTCCACACTCTCCCTCTGTCCCCCACATCCCCCTCTGTCCCCCACACTCTCCCTCTGTCCCCCACACCCCTCTCTGTCCCCCACGTCCTCTCTGTCCCCCACGCCCCCCTCTGCCCCCCACTCCCTCCTCTGTCCCCCATATCCCCTCTGTCCCCCATACCCTCCTCTGTCCCCCACATACCCCTCTGTCCCCCACACTCTCCCTCTGTCCCCCACATCCCCCTCTGTCCCCCATACTCCCCCTCTGTCCCCCACATCCCCCTCTGTCCCCCACATCCCCCTCTGTCCCCCATACTCCCCCTCTGTCCCCCACATCCCCCTCTGTCCTCCACACTCCCCCTCTGTCCCCCACATCCCCCTCTGTCCTCCACACTCTCCCTCTGTCCCCCACAGTCTGTCCCCCCATCCCCTTCTGTCCCCCACATCCTCCTCTGTCCCCCACACCCCCTCTGTCCCCACACCCCCTCTGTCCTCTACATCCCCCTCTGTCCCCTACACTCTCCTCTTTCCCCTGCACCCTCCTCTGTCCCCCACATCCCCCTCTGTCCTCCACACTCTCCCTCCCACACCCTCCTCTGTCCCCCACACCTTCCTCTGTCCCCCACACCCACCTTGGTCCCTTCATGCCCCCCTGTCCCCAGCACCCCCCTCTGTCCCCCAAGTCTCCTCCATTTCCCTCTCTGTCCCCCAAGCTCCCCTCTGTCCCCCACATCCCCTTCTGTCCCCTGTATCTGCTCTGTTGGCCCAGGTCCACCCTCTTCCCCCCACATCCCCCATCCTCCCTCCCTCCCCTCTCTCCCCTCGTGCCCCACCCCCACATCTCCCTCTGTGCCCCTCAATCTCTGGCTTGGCTGATTGCCCGTGGTTTCTCTCCTGCGTGCCCCCCGTGCCTGCCTTGTGTTCACGTCTTGTCTGTTCCGCCCCAGCCCCGAGGATCTCTGACATCCTGAACTCTGTGAGGAGGGGCTCAGGGACCCCAGAAGCTGAGGGCCCCTCACCAGTGGGGCCCCTGCCCTGCCCATCTCCGACTATCCCTGGCCCCCTGCCCACCCCGTGTAAGTAGCACCTTGAGTGGCCCTGGCAGCAGCTGCCCGGAGGGGCTCGGGGAGTGCGAGCCTGGCAGTGGTGCTCTGGGAAGGGCCAGCTTGCGGGGAGGGCGGGGGCACAGGATCCCTCTGCTGGGCCCCAGGGAATTGCTTTGAAGCACATGCAGGTGCCGTTGGGTCTCACAAAATGGAGGTTATGGTTATGAAGTGTGTATGACACAAGTGTGTAGGAAGAGCGTCTGAAAGAGCAGGTTTGTCGCCGACCCCAAAACTTGTGACCCTGAGGTCCACAGCCTTCTCCTGATGGGAGGGGAATGGGCAGCAGAGGGTCTGCGCGTGTGGCAAGGGCTGGCACGCCAGGAGCCGCTGGCTTGGGTCGAGGTGGACCTGCTGGGCAGGGACAGAAAAGTGTCACCGAGATGCTCTAGCATTAGAGCTGTCCAAGTCCAGACAGCAGGGAGCAGGTGGGGATCGGGAGGCGCGGATCTGGGGGGCAGCTGGGGCCAGGCTGAAACAGAGCGGGCGGGACGGGAAGCCCAGGCTGGGCAGCCTCTCCGGCCAGGGAGGAGCCAGGCTGGGCCACCTCCCGGTCTGTCTGCCGACTGCCCACAGTATCGCTTACAGGGATGGATGACATCCCAGGGCTGCCGCCACCCCCACCTGTGGGGAGACACCAGGCTGGGGGTGGTGTGGAGATGCTCTTAGAGAAGAGGCTGCTGGGCCAAGGGCTCGGCATGGCAGGGCAGTGGCTAGGTAAGTACTTGAGGGACAGGTGGGGTCTGAGTGCCCCCATCCCCTCTGCAGGCCGGGCGTGGGGGCTGCTGCAGGTGGCCAGGGGAGAGGGGTGTGGGGAGAGTGAACCCACAAGAGCAGCGGCCCGAGGAGGGGGATGCAGCCTGCAGGTTCAAAGAGACACTGGATCCACCCTGGGTGCCCGAGAGGGCAGGGGGCAGCCCCTGGAGGGGCACTCACCCCCTGAGTGTTCTGTGGTCAGCTGAGGACTCCCAGTGGGGGTTGACTGAGGGGATCAGAGGTGAGCAGCTGAGGGGAAAGACCAGGTTCTTGATGGTGATAGGGTCGGGGTGCCTGGGCGACCGACCGAACTCAAGGAGGGAGGTATGGGGAGGGGCCGCCATGCAGCTGGGGCAGGTGCACAGCAGAGCCTCTGGGGGTGGTCAGAACCCCCCACACCCGCCACTTCTACAGCAGCTCATCTGATTTAAGGGGCTTGCTGCCCTTGCAGAAGTGGAGGGGTGTGCCCAAAGGAGCCTGCCTGGAAGGTCACCCCATCAGGTTAGCATGACCCCAGCCCAGGGCTGCAGCCTGCCCTCAAGGTCTGTGCAGTAGCCGGAGTGAGTCCTCTGAGGACAGGGCCCAGGGTGGGTATGAAGTGGCCAACTCGGGGCTCGGTGCCCAGGCTCACCTTCAGAGGCCACAGCACAGACCTCCCCGTCCAGAGTCTGCCCTGAGCTTGGCTGAGGAGGTGGGGGCTGCAGGAAGGAGTTGTGAGCAGGGTAGGATGGAGATTCGTGTGGCCCTCCTGGGAGGGGCTGGGCAGGGCTGGGAGAGGGGTGGGTGAGACGTTCCGGGAACTCGGGGAGAGGAAGAGCCTGGGTACCACCCTGAGGGCACCTGGGCCCAGGCAGCAGGTGGCCAGCTTTGGGCCATCCTACAGGCCAATCGTGAGCCCCCTCCCTTCTCCGGAAGGCACCCACCAGCTGTGTAAATAGGGCAGCTGCCCACGGCCTGCCTCAGACCCTGTCTTCTCCCGACCCACGCTCTCTAATCTCGGATTATACACAATCCAGCCTGATCCCTGGGCAGCTGCCCTCCCTCCCGCAGCCACCTCTGGCTCTGAGAGATGGGACTTGGGGCCAGCCTGGGGTCCCAGGAGTCCAGGCCAGGATGAGAACCTGCTCTGACCCCACCTGGATGCATTGGGCCCGCCTGGACCTGTCGCATCACCCCAAGAGAGCCACAGGCAATGCAAGGCTCGTGTTTGCGTCAGGGCACCTGGAAGGCCTGACTTGCAGAGGCTCTTGGCTCAGGCAGACCCCTCCAAGCCCAGACCCTGCCCACTGCCTCCCTTTTGTCCCTGGAACTGCCAGGGCAGATTGTCCTCAGCCAGCAGGCTTCCCCACCCAGGCACCCCTTTATGTTGGGCACCCTCCCTCCCCTCCATCAGGGATCATGCCCTTTTTCAGGGGCCCGGGTATCAAGGACACAAAAGCACCCATGTGCTCTGTGGGGAGGCGGAGTGGGGGCTGGGTCAAGCTGGGGTCTGGGCAGCACCGTTCCGCAGGGCAGGGTCAACTTATTCTTCCCGTCTGTGGAATGGATGGGTGGGTCTCACAACAGACCTGCTTCCCATACTTCAGCATGGTTACCACTCTTGAATGGAACTCTGACCATGCATGTCCTCTTCTGTTTACTTTATGCTTTCTCTTCCCACCAACTCCCACTTTAATTACAGTTTGTTTAAAAGCACTGCGTATTACTTCATTAAATGGAAGATTAGTTTCACTTACCACTAGTGTAAGGTGACTATAGAACCAAAGCAGACTGGAAACCAAATGAGATAATGTCACTCTCTTCTCCATTCCAGCTGCGTGCTGCTGTCCCTGAGAACCCCTGTGGAGTGGGAGGGGCAGCTCTCTCTGTCCATTAGAAAGGGGGGTTAACTAAGTGACAGGAGGTGTTTGGGACATGTGGACGCCAGATTTCTCTCTTGATGCAAGGAGGGCAGAGCCAGGCACCCTAGTGGGGTCTGACTTGGGGGCTGCTGGAAGGACTGGCTACAGGTGGAAGAGAGGTCAGACCTGAAACTTGGGGCCACCTCCAGGAAAGGACAGGTGAAAGTGGGGGCATGAGGCAGGGGAGAAGCAGGTGCGAGGTAGAGGGTGGAGAGGAGGCAGGAACATAGCAGCTGGGGTGGGGACGGGCCCTCAAGTGTCATATGCTACTGTCCTGGGGCCCAGGGGCAAGGACAGGAACAGCCACAGCATGTGTTAGGACAGAGCCCTGTGCCCTCCTAGAGTTGGGCAGGTGGAATGGGGCCAGGAATGGGACTCGTGATGGCTGCAGCAGGAACTGGAGGGGAAGGGGCTTCTGGATCCTGCAGCCCACCTTCCTAGAGGCCAGCTTTCCAGGGTCCGCCAAGTGGGTGGGAACTAGGCTTCTATAGCAAGACTGCCCTGAGGACCATCCATGACATGGTGTAGATGAAAGTTAGGCAAGAAAGAGAGACAGGCTGGCAGCAGAAGTGCAGTTGGGTCAGGAGCAAGGGACTTTCCAGATAGGGGCAACCCACGAGTGCACATGTGCCCATGCCACACAACACAGGCACACATGACACGTGCACACTCACAGGCACTGTACACACATGCACACACAGGTGCTTGTGCATATGTATGAGCTTCATCTACACACATTCACACACACACCGTCCTGCTCGTGTGCATGTTTCCATACATGCACATGAATGCACAATCACATGTGTACACACATGCATGTGATCACATGCATGAACATGTGTGCACCCCACTCCTCAGGTGCCATCGGGCTCCTCCTGCTGTCACTGTGCAGCCGGGGACATGAGGCCCTAGAGTAGACAGGTACAGCACAGGCGTTCCCAGGCAGCACCACACACACATGCGTGAGCACACCTGGGCATGCCGCGCCTTCTTCGTGGACTCAGTCCACCTGCCAGGTGGGCTCCCTGGTGGGGCGAGCTCCCAGAGGCCTGGTGGGAGAGATAAAGGCAACCCCATCACAGGGCATGCCTAGAATTGCCTCTTCTGGCTGGGCACGGTGGCTCATACCTGCAATCCCAGCACTTTGGGAGGCCGAGATGGGTGGATCACTTAAGGTTAGGAGTTTGAGACCAGCCTGGCCAACATGGCGAAACCTCATCTCTACTAAAAATACACACACACACAAAATTAGCTGGGCGTGGTGGTGTACACCTGTAGTCCCAGCTACTCGGGAGGCTGAGGCAGGAGAATCGCTTGAACCTGGGAGGCAGAGACTGTAGTGAGCCAAGATCACACCACTGCACTCCAGCCTGGGTGACAGAGCGAGACTCCGCCTCAAAAAAAAAAAAAAAGGAATTCCCTCTGGGAGTTTAGACCACAGACAGGTGGCATGTATGTGGCCGTTGGAGGCAGCACTCACAGCTGAAGGGTGGAAACGTCACCACAGGGCCTGCCTTCTTGGTGAAAATGGTGTCCTGCAGGGCGGGCAGCAGTTTGAGGGCAGGTGTCCCAGGTATGGCTTGCAGCAGCCTGAGGGTCACAGAGCGCAGTGCTGGGAGTGCAGAGACTTCCCCCACAGGGAGAGTTCCCAGGAACCTGCTTCCGGTGCACTTCTGGGGGTTTGAGGTTTTCCATGGACAAATTACTTTGAGAAACCAGTGTTACTTGTGTGTATAGGTGAGCGTGCGTGTGCATGTGTTCTGTGTGTGAGTGTGCATGTATGTGCGTGCCTGTGTATATATCCTCGCAGATATGGCTAGGGACCTCACTGAGGACAGTAGTTCTGTCTGAGGAGAGTGAGTGAGACAAGATTGAGGAGAACACAGGCATCTTCAAACTACATGCGCGGTGCTTTATTTCTTTAAAATGTGTCTAAAGCGAATAGGAAAATGTTAAGATGTGAATCCGTGGAGTGTGGGTTCTATTACTCTCTCCACGTCTTCCATACGTTTAAAATCTTTTACAATGAAAATAAGCTGTAGTTAAAGCAGCAACGCAGGCTGCCAGTGAGCGCCCCAGAGGCCAGTAAGGACCAGCATGGCTGGAGGGCCTGTTGGAATCCAAGGGGAGTGGGCAGGAACCGCAGGCAGGCACCAGAGAGAAGCCTGGGCATGGGGGTGTGGGGCAACGGGGGTGTCTGCAGGGGTAGCATGTGGGCCTCGGACTGCAAGCAGGTGAAGCCAGCAGGATGCGGCTCCTATGAGAAAAGCGGGGAACAAGAGACCATGCCTGCTCTTCCTGCTGCTGGGACAACCCGGGTCATCGCCCCGGGGAACCCTGTAGCCACGCCTGGCCGCCCCCTGCTGCTTCCTCCTACCCGGCCTCCACGTGGCCTTGCTGACGGCTCCTTCTTCCAGGCAGGTCTCTGCCTTCTCGCCTGGTGCCTGCACTCGGTAGCCCCCTCACCAGAGCTGCTGGGTGAAGGAGGCACTAAGAACCCAAGGCTCAGGAGGAGGGTGGGGCCGGGAAGCTGCAGGGAAGCGCAGGGTCAGGCCTGGTGGGCCCCAGGCCTGGCTCACTGGAGGGCAGGAGGGAGACTGTGGCGGACAGCTCATGGGGCCAGGAGGTGACCTCCAAGTGGATTGTAGGAGGGTTTTTTTTTTCCTCTTTCTGCATTTTCCAGACATTTTGTAATGTGGATAGAATATTTCTGTCCTTCAAAAATATTTTAGTTAAGAAAAATAAGATGGAAGCTGTTGCACTTGGAAATGAGGAAGCCACTGGTGATAGAGGGGGGCGGGCGAGAGGATCGCTTCTGCGAATAGCGGCAGAAACACGGTGTGGATGCAGCTCGTGCTCCCCCAGGCCCTCCCCTGGGCTGTGTGGAGGGGTCTGGGGGGAATGGGCCAGCGCCCAGTGGTCACCTGGCCGTGTCTCCCCACAGCCCGGAAGCAGGAGATCATTAAGACCACGGAGCAGCTCATCGAGGCTGTCAACAACGGTGACTTTGAGGCCTACGCGTGAGTCCCCGGGGCTGGGGGGGGGCCGTGCAGGACAAGGATGTGGGACCCTTGGGGGGGCCCTGCTCAGAGTCAGGGGTCCATGGGGCCCCTCCTCACTTGGATTTGGCCCCCAGGAAAATCTGTGACCCAGGGCTGACCTCATTTGAGCCTGAAGCACTGGGCAACCTGGTTGAAGGGATGGACTTCCACAGATTCTACTTCGAGAACCGTGAGTGAGGGAGCCCGGGTGGGCATGAGGGTGCAGTGCCCCCAGGAGAGCCTCTCGGCCCCTCCCAGGGACAGCATGGTGGCTGCCTATGGAAGCCCTGTCCCCTCTCTGCCCAGGGTTGGCCAGCCACCCCTTCCCCACCAGACACCCAGCCCCCAGAATCCCACTCTTGGAGGGGCCCATGCTGCTCCCAGGAGAGCCGAACCTCCCCAGTAAGGGGAGCTGAGAGAGGGAAAGGGTTAGGGTGGTGGGGTGGAAGGCGGGCACCAGGGCAGCCACAGTAACCCGAGACCTCCCTCCACCTGCTGTCCACAGTGCTGGCCAAGAACAGCAAGCCGATCCACACGACCATCCTGAACCCGCACGTGCACGTCATCGGAGAGGACGCCGCCTGCATTGCTTACATCCGGCTCACGCAGTACATTGACGGGCAGGGCCGGCCCCGCACCAGCCAGTCTGAGGAGACCCGTGTGTGGCACCGCCGCGACGGCAAGTGGCAGAACGTGCACTTCCACTGCTCGGGCGCGCCTGTGGCCCCGCTGCAGTGAAGGTGAGTGCTCTGTGCTAAGTGACAGCCGGGGCAGAGGGGTGGCGGTGGTGTGAGTGGCTGCAGCCCAGGGAGGCAATGGGGAGCAGTGGGGCCTGTGGCAGAGCCCATGCCTGGGAAGTCCATCAGCTTTCCTGGTGAGGCCACAGGAATGATGTTGAATTAGGGATCACAGCAGGCTGGGTGTGGCGGGCCTCCTCAGACGACTGGGGAGCTGATGAGGGCCTGAGCAGTCCACACTGGCCAGAGCTGGGTGGGTTGCAGGTGGATGGGCCCCAGGCAGCACAATCCTGGGCACCATGCCCTGTTTGTGAAGACTGTTAGAACCCCAGATGGGGGGTCTCCAGGTGGCGGGTGCAGTGGGCCCAGAGCCCAGAGCCCAGTTTTACAGGGATACTAGTAATTGGGTTGGGCACCTTGAACCCCTTTCCCGAGTGGGCCCTTTTCCGGACTTTAACCCTCTCTGCAGTGCCGTGTGGCAGACAGCAGAGCCTGGGGGTGGACGGGAGAGGGGGCTGCTGAGGAGCTGACCCACCCGCCCCATTTCAGAGCTGCGCCCTGGTTTCGCCGGACAGAGTTGGTGTTTGGAGCCCGACTGCCCTCGGGCACACGGCCTGCCTGTCGCATGTTTGTGTCTGCCTCGTTCCCTCCCCTGGTGCCTGTGTCTGCAGAAAAACAAGACCAGATGTGATTTGTTTAAAAACAAAACAAAACAAAAAAACAAGATGACGACGACAACCACAAAAAAATTGACATCAGATGAAATGAAAAAAAAAAAAAAAAAAAACTAAAGGAAGGAAAAAGCTGTAAAAATCACTGGCATTCGTGGGGCCGCTCCCCACCCAAGCTCCACGTGTGTCCGTCTGTGCTCCTGGCCTCTGGGGGACCAGCTGGGACATGAACTTGTCTGCCAGGCCCCTGTCGCGTGCTGAACGGTGTTAGTTTGTAGGTAACGCACACACCCCACACCTAAGGTGTCTGCATCCTCCCGCCAACGCATGGGCTCCACATGGTGTGCTCGCTGGCTGTCGTGACTGTCAGCTGTCTCTTGGGAGGGGCTGTGGGGCCCGCTGGGCTGCCTCCTTTCCCGCTAGTTGTGCCTGAGAGTTGCTGTTGTTCCTGCTTTCCCTTCCCTTCCTTTCATCCCCTGAAGGGCTAGGTGTGGGTTTTCCGTGCCCGGTATCCCCACACACCCAGCACGGACAACCCTTCGGCAGAGCCCAGGCCGGCCCCTCACCCCCTGGAGTATTGAGACCGGAGTCCCGTCCCCAAGGCCATCAGAGATGCCCCCACACACCCAGGACTCCAGCTCTGGTCCTTCTAGGGGAATAAAGTGCAAAGAGGGGCACAGCTTAGCTTCGGGCCTCTCGCCGAGCAAGAGATAGCACTGCTGGCTACAGCTCCAACACAGCCAGCTGTGGCAAGAGGACTCTGCCTGGGCTGGCCTCCCTCCTGTGTGAGGTGTCTGTCTCTTCTCTGCCAGCCAGCAGCAGATGCACTGGCAGCTCCCGACCCTGTTTCCGCCCCTTGGCCCTCCCCCAGCCTGTTCGGCTTCTCCGCGCCCCGAAATGGGGAACAGACTTTTGACAAAGGACTGCGGGCCTTACTCAAGTCCCTGAGCCCCCGACTGAAGCTAGGAGGGGAGGCCAGGCTTTGTGTCTGGGCATATTTGTCTGCTGATGGAGTTTGGGAAAGCCTGGGGCTTGGGGTTTGGTCGGGTGGTACAGCAAGTGGCAGAGCGGGGTCAGAGGTGGTGGCTGCCCAGCTTCTGGGCTGAGATGAGGGTCTGTGCAGCGGTTTGCTGAAGTGGGAGTGCCTTTGGAATCTGGGCTGGGAGCAGAAGGGAGCAAAAGCTACAGTGGGAGCCAGCCTAGGGCACGTGGGAGGCGTGAGGGCAGTGCTGCCCGTGCAGTGTCAGGTGTGAGAGCACCTTGGTGGGCTGCAGTGCGTGTGAGGGCACCTTCTAGGTGGGCCAGGGATGCAGCTATGGAGATAAGGCGGGCTGGGGACACAAACAGGTGGGCATAGGGCCCAAGACACCAGCGGATGGAGGGCAGGGTCCAGCCCTGTGCTCCTGAGTGTCGGCTGCCTGGGTTTGAGGTGGTGGGTCCCCAGCCCCTTGTGATGGTGTGTACCAAGGGGGAACTCGGGGACAGGGCAAGCCCAAGCACGGTGGGGCTGCAGGGTGGGTCAGAAGCCAGGTTGGGTGGGAGTGGTCAGAAGCCCTGACTGCAGAGGGTCGGGGGCTCCTGCCCCAGTGCCTGCCCACCTTCAATTCACATCGTTTTCAACAAGGATTTTCTTTATCTTCCCCTACAAATCAAGCCAAGGGAGGGGCACAGAATGGGGAACAGGACACAGGATCCTAAACTCCAAGGGGACTGTCCACCGATGAACACTCAGAGTGGACACCATCTTCCGTCCACGCTGTGCCCAGGACAGCTGTCCCCATCCATGAACACAGGGTAAACATCTGCCGGGCTCCGCACCAGTGGCTCCCTGGGCCATGGGACAGCGGCAGGGCTCACCACGGACAGCGCGTGGCCCAGCGGCCGGCCACCCTGGCGTCCTGGGGCCTCCTTCCCTCCTCTCCCTCTCACCTTGTCACCTCCACGGAGCTGCCTGTCTGGGATAATTTGGGGATTTTTTTTCTGGGGGATAATTCTTTTGCATGACCCCTAAAGAGCAAGCCACACCGCTCTGCTAGCTAGGTGTCTACGGTGTGGTGGCGGCGGCCGCTGGCCAGCGCTGCAAGGGGTCGGCTGCCCACGGTGCTGGCTGGCCTCCCCTCCTCTCTCTTTTTGCTGAGTTTCATTGTCTTTTCTTTCTGAGCCTTGTAAGTGTACAAAAATTATTCTTATTTTGTTCTGTCTCGGGAAACTGCAAATAAAAGAAAAACAGGACAAACTGCTTCAAGTGCAGCTGGGTGCTTTAGCTGGAATCCTGCCAACCTCCTGCGCCAAAATACAGACTCAAGCCCGGTCCCTGGCCAAGACCCTACTTGGGCCCCTCCTCCAACAGAAGGTAGTGCTATGGAGCCCTGAGCTGGCCCTGACATTCCTGAGCTTCTCCAGGGTGAACAGCTCACCCCAGGTAGGGCACTAGTCATAGATCATAGCTCCACCAGCTGTCCCCACCTCTTCCTCTGGTCCTCTGAAGTCTTCTGGGCCCAGGGCTGTCCACCCTGGATGCTGGAACTGAAACTGGATCCCAGCCCCCAACGCCCCTGAACTCTCCATTCCCCCTCAGTGGCTGCTAAAGATGTGGCCAGGGGCAGCCTCTGGGCAGGAAGGAGCCCCAGGACCAAGACCTCTGGCTGGCTGCTGTCTCCTTTCGCCCCTGCTACATGTATTGGCTGTTCTGGAAGCTGAGGGGACACAGTGACCACAAAGCCAGGCTCCACCCCAGTGGATTATGCAGACAGACGGCACACAGGCCTGTGTGGGTATCAGCCTCCAACACCAGACGTAGGCAAGGCGCAAGGTGATATAGTAGACAGCCATCATGGGGGCCAGGAGCCTCCAGCAGATGCCATACAACCAGCCCAGAATCCGGGACAGAGAGCTGGAATGGAGACAGGGAGACAGGGAAGCCAGATGCCAGGCCAGATTGACCAGGTGCTATAGGCCTGTGGGCCAGGCCAGGCTTGGGGACTTCATCCTGGGTGTGAAGGAGATAGGCACCCCTCAGTCCTTCCCTCTGCATCTCCAGCCCAAGCTAAAAGCAAACCCTTAGGTTGGAGTAAGGAGTAACCCCCTGCCAAGTTTCTCCTGTCCTCAGGCTCCACCCACCACCCATGCTGCCTGGCCCCATAGGGCACACACTCAGGCCCAGCCCTGGAAAGCAACTGCAACTGCCTGTGCTATGCTGGCCCTTCTCAGCCTCAATGCCCTCCTCCCTCCCCGATGCACCCTCGTGGCCCCCGCTGGGCCCCCTGATGCACCCTCATATCTCCATGGCAACCTGCTGAGAGTGTGGCCTTGCCCTTGGCTCCCCTCCACACCTGTGTCCCAGGCAGTGCCATGGTACTTTCCTGAAACAGAAGGATGGGCTTCAAAACAGTCCCAGACACTAAACACGCCTGCATTTTGGGTCCAAGTAACTTCTGACGAGTGCCCCTACACACGCTCGGTCCTGTCCACTATGGGCAGGGAGCCTGAAGGATCCCCCAGAACTGGCTAAAGCCCTCAGTCTCCTCCTCCACCCTGAGCATCTGGTTAAACACCTTCATGTGGCAGAGCGGCCCTGGATGTCAGCTTCTTGCTCCTCATGGTCTGCACCTGGACAGGTGCTCTCAGGTGTGTGGGTGGCCAGGTGGCAGGTCCCAAAAGCCAGTTGCAAAGAATCTAGGCCAGTGCCCATGAGTGCTGCGGTGTCTGTCCCTAACATGGTATCTAGGGCTCCACTCACCTATCAGCTGTAATCGGAGGAGGATTTCCAGGCCAGGCCTCCCCCAGGAAGGCTGCAGGCACTGCGGATCGTGCACCCTCACATGCATTATTCCTGAGGCCCTTCTGCAGATGTCATCAGGGCAGCAACTCTGATGAGGTTTTAGGGCACAGCACACAGGACTAAGCCATCCTGTACTGGGCCAAGCGCTACAGGCAAAAGGGACACCACTGATGAGCATTTCATTCATCATTTTTATTTTTACATTTTTTTGAGAGGGAGCCTCACTCTGTCACCCAGGCTGGAATGCAATGGTACGATCTTGGCTCACTGCAACCTCTCCCTCCTGGGTTCAAGTGATTCTCCTGCCTCAGCCTCCTGAGTAGCTGAGATTACAGGTGCCTGCCACCATGCCTGGCTAATTTTTGTATTTTAGTAGACATGGGGTTTCACCATGTTGGTCAGGCTGTTCTCAAACTCCTGACTTCAAATGATCCGCCCACCTCGACCTCCCAAAGTGCTGGGATTACAGGCGTGAGCCACTGTGCTCGGCCCATTCATCACTTTTAAATAGCACCCTCTGAACAAAGCTCCCTGGGCCATGTGACTCCAAGGTTTACGCCTGCCCACCCAGGTCTGGCAGGTCCTCAGAACAGGAAAAGTCGAGCACTGCTCAAGGCTGCTTGCTGGGCCAGACAGAGGTCTCTGCCTCCAGGCTCACAAGTACAGGCTGAAAGCAGCCTTGGGCCCATCTCCCTGGGAGGCTGCAGAGGCTTCAGAGGGCTCCCTGAACTCAAAACCTGATGCAAGACTTGAATTTGACTTACCCCTGGTTCACCTAACAACCTGCAGGGGTCAGCTTTGGCTCTTCTAGGAAGCAGGAAGCTTCCAGGCACCCTGTGGAGCCCCCTCTGCTCCTGAAAAGTTGCCACCTGTGCTTGGTGGGATGCCAGGTGGTCTCAGACTGACCCTGGGGTCAGCTCAGCGGCGAGGGGCAGGAAGCCTACAGCAGGATCAGGATGGGGCCTCCTGTCCCATGGCTCTGCAGCCATGAGGCAGCTTTTCCAGGGGGGGTCTCCTGGTTGCAGCTAAGACCAGGCAACAGGATTCAGCAATGACAGGGCTGCTTCTACTCCAGGGCTCCCTCACCTGGTTAACAGCAAAAAAGAAAATACAGTTCCTGCTAGCAACGTCTAGAGAAAGGAGGTGAAGGAGTCAGGCCTGCAGCTATCACTCCTGGACAGGGGCCAGCCAGGATAACTTGGACCCTTGCGTGCAGCAGGCATGCAGGCATACAGTACGAGGCCGCTCTCTCCCCGGGGCTTGGTGAGGGAAGGGTTCCCCTGAAGCACAAAGAAAGCACAGGACCACTGTGGAATTTCAAGACAACTTTATCCA